TTTAAGTAGTATTTAGAGAATAAAAAAATGTAAGTACTACATTGGAAAAATACATACTCTGGATGTTTTATTAGTATTCAGTGCAAATTTTACTAATTAATATATGGACCTTAGATCTACCATAAAACAAGAGTAAGTTTAATAATTAGAATATTATAACTGGGGATTTTCCTTTTTTATTCATCTATTATCAAATATTACACATAGTCCTTTTATAAGTATCTTTCTAGATATAATCTTTTTTTATCTTCGGTCAGGTTGTTAATTTGAAGGCTAAAAGTGTAATTTTGCAATGATATTATATATTTTTCTTGTTATACACAATTCTATAGGTCATTTCTAATGCGTTATTTGTGAATTGCAGTCGTTTTCTGCTAGAACCATGGTCTATAAATGTGGTACATGTCAAAATTCTAGTCAAGAGTTATAGTCATTATTACTCCAATTTAAATATACTTGAACGAGGGGAATACACATTTAAAAAACGCTTAAAAAATTCTGCAAAACATTTGAAAGTCATTGACATGCGAGACCCATTTCAGTCACCTTGGACGCTTGGAGCATTAGACAACTGTCTTCTCATATGGGCCGGATAACTTCTCCGCGGATATCCATCAACCGGCCCTCTAATTAATTAACTAATTAATTAATTGAAGTGACTAGTTTAATTTACTTTTCTATAAAGATTTCGGTCAAGAGGAAAGAAGCGCACCCACTGACAAGCGTGGTATGATATATTGATATTTAGCTCGTATTGATGTCGTAGCATATTTAGGTTCAGTATGGGATTCCACGGCATACCGATCCCGAAATATTGGTTCGATATAGTTTAAGATGGATCAGTTTCAGTACAAATCGGGATGAATATATACGTACCTTGTTTACACTATAAAATGTAACAAAATAATAAAATGAAGTTTTGTACATATCATATAAATAAAGATAGGTAAAAAATTTAAAAATTAATAATAAAAAAGAAATTTTTATGAAACTTAGTTTATATTTCACAACTTAAAAAGAATGAATGATAACAAAATGTCATTTAAAATGTTTGTAAATGTTCAATGTTCTTATACTCATCTACAAAAAATAAAAACTCGGATTAAATTACTCCGTACAATTTACATATGATGACGTTAAATTAAAATGTCAAAATAAATTTATTATTTAATGAAGAAATATAAAAAAATTATTATTTTTATAATATATTACTCCGTAGTATATATGCTCGATTCGGGAGTTTCGGTAAGGGAAGTAACCTCGTGATATTCCCAAATACCGGACAGGTCATTCGGTTCGGTACGGTTCGATTATTTTGCGATACTTTATCGGTTTGGTATTTTTTGATTTGGTATTTTTGATTTTTTAAAAAATCATCAGAATCGGTTCGGTATTTGTTCACCCCTAGCAGATAAAACATAAAGCATCTCACGCATGTGGGTTTTTTTCTTTTTATTTTTTTTCTTCTTTTTTTGTGGGGTTAAAAAGTCATTTTGCTGCTTAGCCTTTCCAGCATGGTTTTCCTTTTCTCACGGACGAGTTAATCACTTTTCTTTACTCCCTAATTTTTTTCAACCTATTTTATCATACTTCCATCTAAAATTATTACGGGGTAGTCTCTATGTTTCGGGATAATTAAGTTGAGTACTGCCTTCAGATTAATTTATTTTTAAAATTGATATTGTTTTAAAAGTTGTTTGAGACAAATAAAGATATGATTATAAAATTTTAATAAATGAGTTAGGAAAATACTCCGTATAAGAAAAAGTGGACAAAGTTTGCTTATGAAAATCTTTACTCTATTATTTTTTATTATACTCCATACAGTTTTATTTTTCTAAAATTTCATACCATACAAAGTGTGAATTGCTAAATTTGGATTACAAGAGTATTTAAATATAAACATTAGTTGTATCTACATTATTTTTTATTTAAAGTACTAGCAAAATCGATGGTAAACTTAAAAAGGAAGGGATGAAATATGGAACACATTTTTTCAAAAGTTAAAGTAAAATTGAGGGGAAAAAATTAAAGAAAATAAAGAAAATTGGGCCAATTAAGAAAGAAAAAAGGGGCAACAACAAAAAAAACATTATGGGACAGGAGATGGGAGTTTAACCTTGGAATGCACGAACACATCCATTCCCACTCTGCTGCCCTGGCAACACCATCCCCAACTGCTTTAAAGTTGAATCATAAATACCCATTCTTTTTTTTTGTTGTTGAGTTTTTTTAAATATTAATAACTCTATTGTAGTGTTTTATTCAAAACGCTAACGCTAATCTCTAACGCTATTCCCAAATAGGCCCAAAGACTCATACCCGAGTTCGATTGTTGACAAATATATTGGGATGTACGTAACTATGTTAAACATATAACCTCTGCAAATATCAAATATCAAGTATCGGGTGTTAAGCTTCACTTTTTGTCATCAATCTGTGATTACTATCCAATTTTATTTTCTCTCCAGTGACCGTCCAACCAGTTCAGAACCTTTGGAGATGGGGTTCAAATTTTTTTTTTTCAATCTAAGTTAGGAAAAAAAAGCTTTATAAAGGGAGTAACTTGTAAGTTCAAACTGCACAACATTAAAGCCAAGAATCAAACAAGCAAGACCTTGATGTCTCATCTAACTAACCATCCAAAGTCTATATTTCAAAGCTACTTTTTGATGGGTCCGGAATTTAATATTAATGTAACACACACATGGGGCTGCAACATTTGAATCCTACCAAAAAAGGGAGTAGTGGCAAATTGGTAATGCCGTGGTGAGCTGAGAACAACACTCTTTGTACACAAAAGCTGCACACCAATGGACCACTTGTTTACCTACTTACTCGGTTTTTGACTAATTGCCTCTTTTAATTGTACTCCCTATTTATTTTGGAGTAAATATTTATGTATAATTCATAAATAAAAAAATATTTTTAAAATTATACATTTTTTTTTGATAAAAATATATAAGAATAAAAATTTAGTTTGATTTATGAATAATGGGTGAGTCAAGAATATGGTGGGATGAATAAAAGATAGGGCGTGGATGGAAAGAGTAGCGTGTAAACCCTTTTTTAATTTTCAACAACAACTTGACTTTTTACGGTTTGAGTGATTTAGGGCATGTTTGAGAATAGCGTTGGAAGTTAGTGTTAGCATTTTGAAAAGGTTATCTACATGTTGCATTTATTAGCGTTAGCGTTTTCAAAGTTAATATGCACCGTTAAGATTTTATTCAAAACGCTAACGCTAATTAAAAATGTGATTCCCAAACGGGCCCTTGGCAAGTGTTTTTTACTTATAAGCTAGTCAAAACTATTTATAAATCACTATTTTATTTATAAGTCCGTTGATGATATATTTTTCTCTGCTTAAAACCTGACTTAGAGTTTGATTATAAGCTAGAAAAATAAACACTACGTAGGTATTATCTGCTTATTTTAAGCTTTTCGTTTCTCTTTTTTGTCCAGATTATTTACAACACTATCGCTCATCATATCGAAAATTCTCAAATGACTTATCTATCATTTTAGTCACGTTACTTTCGCGAAGGAAAATTATTTATCAGTAATAAACCAATAAGCATTAACATACGGAGAAACGAATTGTATAGTTCCTTCACAATGAAACATAGTGGTTCCATTTATTCAATCTTGACTACTCATTAATTTTTTTTTTTAGTTTAAAAATTTAAATTTCTCATCGTAGTAGTATTTATTTTTTAAGTTTTAAATTTCTAAGCACTTTTTTAAATTTTTAGTATTTGTAATTTTAACTTTTAAGCATGTTATGATTTTTTCTTTTATTAGCGAAGTATTTTGTATTTTATAGCATTTTTTCGTATACTTTTACATTTATCCATCTTTTAGTATTATTAACTTTATTATAATGAAGTGTATCTTCATATTTTTTCTATCTAATGAAGAAGATGAGTTAATTTATTACTCCATCCGTCCCTAAATAGATTACAATTTTTTTTTCTCTCTCCTCTCGATAACTTTTATTTGTTTATGCAATTTCATGAAGTATTTGATAAAATAAAATATTATTGTCACCTCTTGTTTTGTAGAACTTTTGACGTAGTTTTTTAATATGTAATTTTTATAATTCATTGATATACCAATTTGTAAATAAAATGATTTGAAAAAGTAGAAATTTTTATTCCATAACCTACAATTTGTAATCAAATTGGGGACATAGAGAGTATTTTCTTTAAACAAGGGAGTAATTAGTTTATCCATTTAAAAAAAAGCCTCATAGACAAAATAAAAAAAGCATTATAAACAAAGGTTTTGACAGGGTGTAGAATTAACCAATAATTAAAGATACTCCGTAAAAGAAAAAGCAACAAAGTGACAGTAAAGCTACCCAAAAAGTCGCACACTCCATTTTTTCAACCTTTCCTTTCTCTCTCTCTCTCAATCTGACCTTACCCCTCTGTCTCTTTGTCAGCTATTGGACTTCCCCATCTTCTTTCTTTTTTTTTTTCTCAAAAAAAGACAAAAAAAAAGGAAAATGTTAGGGGTACACCAAAAGTGTATTCCAAACATCTCCACCCCATACATCACCACAAAAAGGTAAGAAAAATTCAAAAAAAAAAAATAAAAACAAAATAAAATGAATGGTAGGAAGTGAGTGGTGTACATTTGGGTTACACATTTGGTGTACCCCTAGCATATCCCAAAAAAGAATTAGCTCCACATTGCACAGTTGACAAAGATAAAAAGTACTACTCCGTAAAAAATAATACTTAGATTCAATTCTTGACAATTGCATTATGAGATTATCATGTTAAGCACATGACCTCTGCAAGTATCAGGTACAAACTTCACTCTTTACACCAATTACCTTAAAATTCAACATATCTTTTTCAGTGACCGCCCGACCGAGTCTGGGAAGTCCATAAGGGCTCATCTTCTTTTAAAAAGAAAAAAAGAAAATTAATTTCTCAAAAATAAATTTTCATTAACTTTATGGATATCTGAACTTGTCTTTTCTCTACACTACTCCATCTCCATTCAATTCTCTCTCTCTCACCTCCATTAAAGCTTCATCTCTTTCCTTCCCATCTCTTTCCCATTCTTTAAAACCTCCCCTTTTGTTCTCCACCTTTCTTCTCACACAAATTGAACCTCTGAAGAAACAGAAATTCCAAATTCTCCCCCCAAAATGGATGCATATGTAATTATCTCTCCCTCCCTCTCTCTGTCTCTCTGCGTTTTCATTAATTTAATTTCAAATTTGTGCTCTATTCTTCTTCGATTTTGTTTTCCTCGACGGGTTTGATTCGAAATTTTTGGATTTGGAAACGCCGCAGGATTGCGACTACTTCATGAGGAGGAGCCAGCAGGTTCCGGCGTTTGGGAGCTGGGATTGCGACGGCGGCGGCGATTTCCCGATCCCGTTCACGCAGTGCTTCGAGTCGGCGAGGCAGGCCGCCGGTCTCCTCCGCTACAGCTACTCCGAGGACCGGGATCTGTACGTCGCCGGCGATCTCTACGAGAACGACGTCGTCACTCCCACCATGATTGTCGTCCCCCGTCGCCGGGTTGTTGTAAATCCTTATCAATTCTCAAAGGCTTTGATTTTTCATCTTTTATTAATTACTTAATCATTGAGTAATATTCTATTTTCAAACATGTTAGGCCTATTTCAAAAATGAAAAGATTACATATTTTTTATTTACGTGACTTCATTAGTTATTTGATAAAATAAAATATTTTTGTCACATCTTATTTTGTAGAATTTTTGACGCGATTTTTTAATATGTAATTTTTATTTCTTATTGACATATCAATTTGTAAATAAAATGATTTTAAATAATAAGAAATTTTTCCTCATAAATCTTAATTTCTAATCTAATTAGAGACGAATAGAGTATTAGCCTAGAAAAATGTAAGGAAACTTATGTTTGTACATCAAGAATTTTTTTTAATAGTTTTTTAGAATGTAATTTTATTTTTTCATTAAGTAATTTTGAAATAAGTTAAATAAAAAAGAATTAATGGAAGGAATAGATATTTACCGGAGTATTATTTTAAGAGGAAATAAAACAAATAATTGATCCGCGACGTGACGTTATTTGGTGGGGGGTGTGGTACCATGTCACATGTGTTAGGTATTTCGTGTTAATGGTCAAACATTAATTTTTTTGGGGTACGTTACAAGTTGAACCATTCTAAATTTAGTGCTTCTTGTACTCCCCGTCCAAAAATATAATTATATTCCCCTTCATTATTTAGAGATTAAATTTTATTCATTTTATTAGTTTTTTTGTTATTTATAGTTCTATAAGTCTTTTATTTGAGTTATCGTTTTGGATAAAATTTTAGGTCTGTTTGAGAATAACCTTAGAAATTAAGTTTAGTGTTTGGATAAAACTTTCAGATTACTTTAAAAAACACTAACATTGTCCGTAGATAACATTTTCAAAACGCTAACGTTATCCCTAAATTGTCTTATATAATGAGTAATTGTACTTGATTTTTCTCGATTTTTTCAATATAATATTTTGACTATTAATTTTTGCACACTATGATTAGAAAATTTAATTTTTTTTGTGAGATTGAGTTTAATGACTTTTGTCGGTGGAAATAACTATCAGGAGAATGGAGGGAAAGGAGGAGGAAAAGAGGCAGCAGCCTGGGTGGTGGGCCAGTGTGGGTATGAAGATTTCGGAGCCGTCGTAAAAGAGCCGCCCAGCCCACCTCCGCCGTCTCCTCCGCCGTCCAAGGCGGTGGACGAAGATCTCTACAAGATTTCCCCTGACCTCCTCTGCTCCAGGGCCAAAAGGGTTCGTCCTCCCAACCCCCCGTCTCTCTTTTTAATTCTCACTACCCCTCCGTCCCCCTGTATTTGTCCACTTTTATTTTTACACATCATCCAATGCACTTCTTTAATTCATTTTATCTTGTAATTTGTATATTAAAAAATTATAGAAATTATATATTAATAATCTATATGTTAAGACAAATCAAACAAGATCACACATGACTATATTTAGACTTACACATTGAGAGAATTTGATGAGTCAAAGTACTTAGATGAAGAGTTCCAAAAGTCAAATGTGGACAAATACAGGGAGACGGAGGGAGTAACTGTTTCGAGCTTTGCACGTGAAATCCTTATCCTTTTTTAAAAAAATGCATGCGGGTCAACTCTTGGTCAACAAAATTCTGATACGAAACAAATAGGACTTATTATTGTTGGTTGAACTGTTGAAGAAATGTTTTTATATTCTAACATTTTCAATTTTGTTTTCTTCTTCAGAGGAGATCATGGGGATTCTTCTCAAGTTGCCTTCGACCAGTCTGCGTGTAACACGGAAGAACAAACAAAAAAAAAAAAAACCAATCTTGGCTGGGAATCGACACAAGATTATCACAAGAGAATGTTTTGGATCTGGGCAAAATCCTGGGAAGAACAAGATGAGAGTATATGTATATTGTATGGACATGAATGATGGTATATATCATGATGATATATATATGATCATCATCTGATCATTATCTTCATCATTATATACATCATCATCATCATCATGAGTAGCAATGCAGGTGAGAATGAAGAATAAATTAAAGCACAGATTAATTAATTAGTTGTTGTTTCTTTTGTATTTGCAGTTCAAAAGTAGCTGCTGCTTCTGCAGCAGTGAAATTGATTATTTAATCAAGGAGTGATAATTAAATCAATGGAATTTTGTCTCTTTTCAAAATTTAATTCACAGTAAATCTTTGTTGGATCCCATTGTAAATGGAGCAGTAAATATTTTTTTACCAGTGTGAATGAGGGGTGGGTGAAAAAGGAAATGGAGCAGTATTTGTATTGGCCGGCAAAAGCAGAGGTTCTGAATCCTCTTCTGTTGGGTTTGCCTTGGAATCTCTGTGCCTGTGCCTGTCCCTAGGGTATAGAGCAGTAATTACTAGGAGAGTGACCTCAACCTTGACCCTACGCAAGGGCATGTTTCCCTCTTCCTTTTTTTTTTTTCTTTCTTTCTCTGCGTTATCTCCCTTTCATAATTAAAGCCACTTCACGAATTATAAAAGGTGAATTTGAATTTATTTCGCCCGTGAGAGGTAGCTGCACTCCTGAGGCTTCGAACCACACCCCAATCTGACATATTAGCTTAGAGAGGTTGTTTCGTGTCTAGTACGCACACAGAGGTATTACAAATAATAGAACTTTCACACTGTTTGCCGGGATTCAAGTTTAAGATCAAGGGACTTGACATCTTCTCTTTGGACCAATTGAGCTACTCATGCCGGTAGAAATTAGGGTGTTAGAGCATTTACAATATGAAGCATTTCCGCACATCCGCATTCCACTCACTTTCTATCATGTTTCAAAATCATGCAACGCTATCGCCTTGAAAATCTGTCTCACTGTTTCTTTTACAATATTCATCATTTTTAATTTAAAAGTTATATAAATTTAATGCAAATATTTATTTATTTATAAAAATAGATAAGTAATAACAAATAAAATACAATCAATAAATTTAAAATTAACAAAAATAAATAAAATTATATGATTCCAAAATCTCTATTGGTAAACAAAAAAATTGACAATGATTAAGAATATGGTTATCATCATTTTTAAAATGTGGAACTGAAATTTTTAGAACTAGAACTCAGTTCTAAATCGAAACTTTATTCTGTTATTAAATAAAAAAAATTAAAATTGAAACCTCCAATTTCATTTCTGTAATTTAAATTTTGTGTACCAAGAGTCATAATATGGATTTCGATGGTGGGAAATTTCATCCACGGGAATGTTCATACATGGATGTAGAAATATTATGTACCCTTCGAAGACTCAATAAAATTAAGTTTGAATGCCACAAATTGAGAAAATAGTTCACACTTTTCTTTGTTTGTCAAAAAAAACATTTCACTTCCTTTTTGATAGAAAATTTTCTGTGGATCATGTTAATGTTGTCTTCTTTGCATCACTTCTAATTATATATTTTCAGTTTTTTTCTATCATTGTTATAATTTCATACATTATGAAACTTGTAGGACAAAAAGAGTATTGCTTCCTCTCTCACATGAGTATTTGTTTAGTATTTTTTGGACAATTGAGAATATTTGTCTATTTTTTCTAATACAGAAAAAATATTAAATTAACAATCTATTATATCTTCCATTGCAAGTTTGCAACTCTCAACCTCTCTTATATATATTTTGATTCGAATACTGAATATGTCATTTCTATTATACAGATTAACTCATTCCCTTGGAGATTCGATTCGTGGAAATCTTTAATTTGCAATGGGTGCATCTCCAACACTTGCATTCAGTCGATGTCGTCTTGTTGAACGCAATCGATGCAACTCAGCACGGATTAGTCCGAACTGATTATAACAAAGACCAGAAAAATGCTATCTTAAACCATATTAATCGTTTAAAAAACCCAATATGACCTAGTCCTTATGCTCGCCCCTAATCTGAAAACATTTGTGCAAAATGGCATAATTCGTGGAGTAATCTTGTGAAGTTTTCCTTTGTCGTCTGGCAAATTTGTACATGTAGTCTTGGTGCACCTTTTCATGGCATGCTGAATTTATTACTCACTCCGTTTTTCCAAAAGATTGTTTGACTTTTTTGGTCAAACTGTAGCGCTCTTTGACTACGAATTAAATATAATTTAAAATAATTAAATATTATAAAAATTTGATATTTCAAAACTACATTTTTAAATAAACTCAATTTTACTATATTCATATTATAACTAAATATACTTTTTCCATAATTTACTGTCAAAAGGTGTCATAGTTTGACAAAAAAATGAAACAGTGACAATCTTTTAGGGACGAAGGAAGTAAAAAAGAAAAAGGATGAGGCTCCATCCGTGAGGGTCCTCAACACCGGTCGAACATTTAGCTGAGAGTCAGTAAATTGAGCTACAATCTCAATAGCAAAAGGATAAAAGGCTCATATATACTTATTCAATTACATAAATATAAAGTGCGTTAATAGAAATACTTTAACAGTGCGTGGGTAAAGAATGTCCACTACCACGCCAATAAACCCTTTTTTCAAAGGCTAACAATCTATCAAACAAAGGCCTTTCCGAAAGCACAATAAAAGCTAAACTAAAGAATCTTTAGCAATAAAAGATTAATTAAAGGTAATTAGGTGAAGTCTCGTGGGGGCTTTTTAGATTTAACAGGAATTTAGTTATTTATTTTTTTGCCTTAAAATAGTATCTCAAGTGATTCTATTGGTAAGTTAAAGTAGGAGTTATTGGCTTTGATTTCGAAAGCAGATATTCTGAAGATTTCTATCTTTGAATTTATAGGGTGTTGTAATGGTTTAGGATTCTAAAAAGAATTTGTCGTCACAATCTGATTTTTTAGAATAATTAACCACTTGATCCTCAAAACCCAACTAATTTTTTAATTTTGAAAAAAAATGGTGTTAGAGGATTTAATTATGAAGAAAGTGCACCGTTTACCCCCGAACTCTTTGGAAATTGCATGGTTTAACCTAGAACAATTTAAAACGTTGCGCCGTTGGTCCTAAAATGGTAGATAGGGAGTGCGTCGCTCCTACGCACGGGAATTGCGAGCATGATTCATATGCCCTGGTGAATTCTTCAAAGTACCATTGTTGTCTTTATTTAAATGTTCATGGATAAGCCGTACAATTTCCGAAAAGTTCAGAGGTATTTGGTGCACTTTTTAATTTTTAGGAGTAAATCGTGCAATTTCTGAAGAACTCAAGGGTATTTGGTGTACTTTTTAATATTCAGGGATAAACCGTGCAATTTCTGAAGAATTCGAGAGTAAACAATGCACTTTTCTCATTTAGTTATAGTGCACGCACGAAGGTTAGAGGTAGGAATCACTCTCGGATCGAAGAGAGTACCATAAGCCTATAACACAACACCTTGTCTCAAAATCGCTAGAATAAAGTATGGAGAAATCGTAAAGCTACGAAATTGGGGTTATCAAGACGAATGTGAAGAATGAATTTGATTGCTTGAACGAATCGCATGAGAATACATTTTCAAATTAAAGTTTTTAGGAGATACACCAAAATATTTTAATCAGATAAGACGTTAAATCAAGAATTAACACTAAAAATTCTCTTTTATATAATACGAAAAACATGATGAGACATAATCGTTCGCGTAAATAAGCGTCCCAACGAAGAGGTGCGTGCAATTTTAGGCTTTTGCAAACGTATATCCATACGCTTGGATCCTGCCAGAGGCTGCTACCGCTATGATTTTGTAATATCATTGAACGAGTCTACACTCCGCATCTCCCAAGTCATTTGACGTATATTCAGATTCTTATCTAAGTAAATCTAATCACATAAAATAACTGATGCCACAAAAATCACCAACAAAAATAACCAATGTGTTATTTTATGGAGGCATCCAATAATTTGAGGTTTTATGGTTTGGTTTGTAGCATTTGGATAAAGGGTCAAAAGATAGTCAAAAGAATCGAAATATTCAGTGTTCCGTAAAACAGTCAGTTGATATATACTCATATCCCTCAGATCAGCTCCACCCCTTTTACAGTCTTGTGAAGTGATACTATATTTCCATTCATCAACAACAGAAGGGAAAGGAATCTGCTTTGTGGTTTGTCCTTTTTAAGAAACTTTTATTCCCTCAAAATGGGAGTTGTTCTTTATTTTTTTAAAAAAAAAGATTTTTTTTTATTTTTTTTCTACTGCATATTCTATGCTGTACAAACTACTATATATACAAACTACTGTGTGACAGGATAGATCAGCTGCAAAGGGTATCCCTGCATTTCACTTTCTGGGATTCTTATAATGTTCTACTTCATATGTATAGTGCATTATGGGAGTATTGTTTTTAGGAAATGACCTTTTACTGTTCTTTTTTTGGCTATAAAAAAAAATTGTTACATGTTTTTACTATGGAGAACTGTTTTTAGATTTAAAAAATGAATGTTTTTTACATGGTGCGGTATGAATCATATCCTATTGAGTTAACAAAAATCCACTAATGTGACAACTCAAAGTAGAGTGGAAACAAATGAAATAAATCTGAACATTCTCCATGGTGTTTGCATTTGATCAGTGTATGACTACAATACAATGGCCAGTTATGATAATAATAATAATATGCCTTCTGCTACAAAACACACACACGCGTGCGCACAACCATTCCCATCTTTCACCTCTAAGCCAGTTAAAACTATGATCCTTTACCGGTTGGTCCGTTGCTCAGTCACTGCCACTATCACTATCACTATCGGAAATGTATTTCCGGGCGTCAAAGGGCAAATTCTTTGAAGCCGGTACGTGATCCTTACCAACATTGATTGCTTCATTCAGTGGGGCAAATGCTGCAAGCGAGCATAAGAAAGACGATCAGCAAGCAAAAGTACATACAAATAAAAATTGATTGAATGACGACAGAACTCACAATATGTGAGTTATTGTCTATAGGGGAACTTCTTTTTCAACATATTTTCGGTTCAACACATATAGTATTCATATAGAAATTAAAATTAAATTAATTTATTTTCATTTCGGTTGAAAACGTCTGGAGATTTAGGATAAGTGTAGTTAGATAAACCTGTGGTTTTTATGCCTTGATCTGTAGGTTGTGCTTTGGATCTAGTTGTTTTAGTTGGTATTTGTGTTTCTCCACTCTCTTTGCTCACACTTCATTAGTGCTATTGTGATTTAATTGTCCGTATTTTTATTCTTAAGTGGAGAGTATCTTGGAAACAACCTCTTTAGTCTCTACTACCAAGTAGGGGTAACGTCTCTGTGCATACACCCTCACATTCTACATTTTGTAGGATTTTACTGGGTTTGTTGTTATTCAGTTGAATACGAAATACCCTAAGTTATAGCCTTATTGTGCCCATTAACCCCCCATTTGGACTCCAAGCAAATAGGCTTTGGTTGCTTCTAACATTTCAGAGAAACTTTGGAGCAAATTTCAGCAATGTATTTTATTTCTATAATACACGCAACTTTATTTAGTGAAATTTCTGCAAACTGAAATCAAAACCCGCGCTATGAGTTTTCTCATGAAAGATCAAAGTTACGGACTATTTAGTTATGATTAAAAAAACACCGAGGTGAACTTGAAGTGGAAAACAAAGAAAACAGCGATAGAAGAAGCTTAAAAACAGACCTCTTTCTCTCGTTCTTTTTTCCCTGTCATACTCAAACTTGTCACGGATTAAACGAACCTTGTCCCAATTATCATCATGCCTATTTCTAACCAAACCCTGATCCTGCCATGTGCCATTGGAAAGAAAAGAGTGAAGTTAAGGTCATGCAAAGCATACTCGAGAAATGAAGATAGTAAGCTAGATTTCAAAGTTCAAACCTTTATTTGTTCTGTATAAGATTTGCTTCTCCTGCAACAAAATATAAACAATTTCTAAATAAACAAAACAACAACCAACATAGTAAAATCTCATGAAAGTAGGAGAGAGTGTGTATGAAGACCTTATCCCTAACACAAAAATACGGACAAAGAAAACAAATGAGCATGATCGAAAAAAAAGCACTAACACAGGATACACACTTACCAATAATAATTCTTCACAACTAACAGTCTAACACAAATATACTAAATCAAATCGCAATGAGGGTCTGGAAGGTACTCGAAAGAAATTGCAATGAATGTAATTATTTAAAAAAATGAGATCTTATGGAAGCAAAATTGGGGGGGGGGGGTGGGTCATCCTTAAGTTCAACCTAATAGGAAGAGTATTCCAATGCCACAATGCGTTATATGTATGTTTATGTATTCATATTCTGACTGATGTGGAATTATTTAATTAAAAAACCTATTGATCAATTCAGAAAAGATGTAAAAATGGAGGAATAAGTAGAGGGGGAACCTATAAGGAGAGAAGTCTTCATCATCATCTTCAGCAGAATCATAGTTTGCATGGTCTTGACCAAGCTTCTTAGAATAACCTTCATCCCAGTACAACCTCTCCCAATTTTCTCTCAACTCATTATATAGCTCCATATACCTTTTGCACCATGGTTCATGCTCCTGTTCATCAAACAATTGAAACCAGTCCAGCTTAAATAACCAAAGATCTCATTGCACACAAGGATCAACTCCAGATTCAAGAAGGCAGAAGCAATTTCCAGAATCAAAAGCTGATTTTCCTAATCATGGATAATCTGAACACAAACTGAACTGCTTGCATTGAATAAACACTACTGTTATAGCAGTAAGATGGAATATAAATTCAACAGAAAACTGGTTTATCTTGATCTCCATTTTAACAGTTCAGGAAGATATTGAATTCAATGGTATCAGTAACTGCAGCAATTGGATAGATATTCAGCATCACGGCACGAATTGAATGCGAAGAATTGAATAAACAGAGAATATCTGAAGTTAATTACAGGGAAGAGTGTAAGAACGAACGGATTCTTTGAGAACGAGGCGCGTGCGGCGCATGAACTGTTCCCGGAGTTGTTTGCGGCGTTTATTGGGGATGTTATCCCTAGGGATTACGAAGCGCTCTCTGGGAGGCACGTTCTCGCCGATCTCGTGCATTTCTCCGTCCACCACCCACCACTCGGTTCTCTCATCCACCTTCTTCAGCAGCGTCGCCGGCGAGAGCTTGGAACGCCTTCTCCGGGAGGAGTGCGAGCCGGCATCGGTCTTAACGGACCGGAGTTGGAGATTGAAAACCTGCAGGCAAGGATAAGAGCTCCGAACTCTTCTAGCAATAGACAACATGAAGAACATATATGATCGGAGGTCTCTCCGGCTTCGGAGGAGATGTCAACCTTCCGGCGATAGATCCAGCAGAAATTAGGGCATATAGAAAAACTGCGCGCCTAAACAGAGAAAAATACAAAGTGAATGCTTCCAGAAATACAAGGACCTGTCTGCAATTATCTCGCATAGGGGGAATCAAACCGTAACCGCCTAAACGGCGTCGTTCCTCACCCGTTCCCGCTCTGCTTTTTTTCTTCAACTTTTGCAGAACCGCAGACGCCAACTATCCCGACGATTGAAGCCGCCGCGGTCTCCCGGAGTCGGAGAGGATAGACAGAAGCCATGTGCGGAAGAACTCGATGCACTCTCCGAGTTGATGACTATCCTCGTGCCTGTCACGTCTCCGGCCGCCGCGTCCGTCAGCTCGACTTGAACCGGTAACGAACCACCGCCACCGAAGCTTTCTAGAACTGTTATTCTAGTTTATCCTCATGTGATTGAAGGATTCTTCTAAGGCCTCTCGAGATTTTCAGGTATCGGCCGTCGTATAATGTGTCTCCGGGATTCAATGTTCCGGTTGTTCGTAGAGAAGACGGCCCCGATGACGACGGCGTTGTTCTTCACTGCATGAAATGGGGGCTGATTCCCAGTTTCACAAAGCCTAACGAAAAGCCTGACCACTATAAAATGGTAACAGCCATTGTTGTCAAAGAATTGCAAAACTATACTCTGTATTTACATACTTTAGTTTTTCTGACATGAGAAGCTTTTGAAATGCAGTTCAATGCTCGGTCTGAATCGATAAAAGAGAGGGCTTCTTTTCGCCGTCTCCTCCCTAAGAACAGGTGCCTTGTTGCAGTCGAGGGGTAAGTTCGTCCTCTCCTTTATGCAATCTTTCTGGGTTCAGAACGCAACATCGAATTTATGATGTTGGTTGCAAAAATCTTCACAATGTCCCCTCTGTTATGAATGAATGGTGATATGCTCAGGTTTTATGAATGGAAAAAGAATGGATCCAAAAGGCAACCTTACTATATTCATATCAAAGATGGCCGCCCACTTGTTTTTGCTGCTCTTTATGACTCTTGGAAGAATGGAGAAGGTGAGCCACCATATTCTTCAGTTCATTATCTTTAGGGCTATTGAGCAAAACATCTAAGTTAATTAGGTTGTTATTTTGATTGAGTGCTAGTGTGTGTGAAACTTACCTTTTGTAAGTTATGTGTTTTATGGGCATTTTTGCATATGGATGAAACGAGGGATAAATTTCACCAATGGTACCTGAACTTTAGCTGGAATTTCGAAGTGGTACCTGAACTTCAAATCCTTTCACAAAAATCCCTAAACTTACACAATCCTTTCACTAATGAGTCATTAGCCCGTTTCTAGGTTAACTTCCGGTCATTAGGGCCAAATTCGAATTTTATATAGTTTAAAATTTTCAATTTGAGGGGTCCTTGGAGGTCGCACGGATGCCACGACCGCATTGGAGTTGGTGTCCGCCGTCAATTTCGCCGGAGTTGGCCGGAAAACGCTCCGACCCGCCGGCGTTAACCTAAAATTCGAATTTGGCCCTAATGACCGGAAGTTAACCTAGAAACGGGCTAATGGCTCATTAGTGAAAGGATTGTGAAAGTTCAGGGATTTTTGTGAAAGGATTTGAAGTTCAGGTACCACTTCGAAATTCCAGCTAAAGTTCAGCTACCATTGGTGAAATTTACCCATGAAACGAGCATAATGTTGTGGTCACTTGAAAGCAATCTCTCTACTTCTGGGTAAGGATAAAGTCTTTCCAAGTCCTACTTTTTTGCTAGATTTTACTGAGTTCGTCACTGTTGTAAACGAACATAATGTGCAATGAACAACTCATGTTTAGACTCCATTAATGATTGTTGGGGCTCGGTTGGCTAATTAAGTGTGATTAAATGACATTTGTCGTATGGTTCGAGTGTTAAATGAACAAAACATAAACAACGAGAAATCATGAAAGCAGCATATGTAAGCTGCTATTTGTCTATGTTCATGCAGGAGAGATTCTTCACACCTTCACTATTGTGACCACTTCTTCCTCCTCATCCTTGGGATGGCTCCATGGTTAGTGTCTTAATCCATCCTCATATGTTCCACCTATTTTGGCCAACCAATGCATTGTGATGTTTTTTTTATTGTGTTCGTGGTTGATGTGTTATCCTTTTCTTATTTTGTGGACATTTTTATGCAAATTTATTCTTTGAGGGCAATCATGAATGCCGGTTCCTCTTCTTAGAAGTCGTTCGAACCAATATAGAAATTTGTTCTTGTTTTTGTTTCCTGGTTGGGTGAGGTGAACACATATTTAGTATTTTGACATAAAAGCCTCGTTGATTTACCCATTACTGAATATATAAATGGATATATTGTAGACCGGATGCCCGTGATCTTTGGCAACAAGGAGTCGTCTGACTCATGGCTGAATGGTTCTCTGTCGTTCGATTTTGATGCTCTGCTAAAACCATACGAAGAAGAAGATTTGGTAAGAGCCCTCAACAATGAACCACCTTACTCTATGTCTATGGGCTCCTTTGCTGCTATATTGAACATGTAGCAATATGTTCAAATGAATCTCATCCAACACTTTGTTAATGTTGGAACCTTTTTTTTGCAGGTTTGGTACCCCGTAACACCTGCAATGGGCAAGTCGTCATTCGATGGACCTGAATGCATTGTGGAGGTACTATTCCTCCATCTTCTCTCTCTCTCTCTCTCATGGTTGCGTCGTTAACATAAACTGCAGATTCAACTCAAGGCTGAGGAGGCTAAATCGATCACTCAATTCTTCTCAAAGAAGGGAGATGAAAGCACACAAGATCAGCCTCCAAAGAGGGAAGTCACACATGAAGAGCCCCCAAAGGAGCCCGAAATGATGACAAAAAGTGGTGATGATCCCTGTGAAATCGATGTTTCTGCAACAACTATTATGTGCGGGAAGGAAAGCGCTGTTATTAGAGCCAAAAGAGGGCATGAGGATGAGCTCGTGGATGATGATAAAACGAGGACGATGGTTAGGAGCCCACATAAAAAGAAAGCCACAAGTTCAAGCGGCAAGCAACCTACAATCTTCTCTTTCTTTAGAAAAAGCTAGTGTAGATTGTGCCCTAATTCACTTGTATTATGTTTATATCAAGACCCAGAGGAAAACACTATAACTTTTGTGTTGTCTGTACTATTTCTCTAAGAATAGTTCTTCCAAGACATCCAATTCTCATAGAACTACTCTGGTTTGGATCTCTACCAACGTATCGAAAATGAACATATTTCCATCATATATTATATATCCCATGTTTTCATAACAATCACCAACCAAAAGAGCAGAAAAGAGAAACTCCATGATGCTAACTTGCTAAGAAATAATGGATAACAATGTGCAGAAAAAGAAAACAAAAACTGCAGAATTCAATAGCATCAAAGTTTAGGATCACTACAACACCTTTTACAGTCTTTGGATTTGAACAAGGTTCAATCTTTCTTCATCAATTTGCTTCAGAATCATTTGGCACTGGTTAGGATGCCACCAAGTGTGCCCAACACTGCGAAAGCGAGAAGAGGACTGACATCCAGAGTATCGAAGATGGGGGGAATGATATTCCTGAAGAGATTCAAATACGGATCGCAAAGGTCCCTAATGGCGGATAGGGGTTGTCTTTCCCAAGGTATATTTGGGAACCAGCTGAGCAAAACCCTAACCATCAAAACCCCACTGTAAATATCCAGCCACTTCGCCATCCCTGCAGCGATCACCGTTAGCGGCGTGTTCAGGGAAGAGGTGTCCACGGAGCTCTTCGCGGCGGCGAAGAACAGGTGCGCCGCGGAGCAAGCCGGAGCCCCCCACGGCTGGAAGCTTCTCAGATGCAATCCAAATCTGTAGGCGATGGCTTTCGACACTGCGACCGCGACCGCGAGAACTGTTGCGATTGCGCGGGTTGATCCGGTGAGTGGCGACTCGGCGGGCGGATCTTCGCAGAGAATAGGCGCGGAATTGGAAACCCTAAGCGGCCGCGGCGATTCGGAAGCTCTGGCGGCGAGAGCTGGGATCCGGCAACGGAGGAGATCGTGAGTTCGCGCCGCAGGAAGAGAGACGGAGGAGAGATCCCGACGAGGATAATGGAACGGAGGAAGAATGGTTTGGAGAATCGAGGTTCGAGACGCCATTAGAGAAGAAGAAGCCATTGGATTCACTGCAATTCTTCAGTCCTGACGATTCGAGGCTATGGACGATCAATCTAAACGAGACCCGCTTAAGATTTCGTAAAAAAATATCCAATTTTATTTCATCACTAGATGGGCTGATGGAGTTTGGGGCGGACTTACAATTTCACAACAGAAACTTGTTGTCAGCCCATTAAAAATCAAATACTTTATTTGATTTTTTTTATTTAATCCACTATTTATACTAAAAAAAATTGTTTTTTAGTTGGAAAAATACTATTTCGTGAATAAAATTCACCGAAGAGTTACAACCAACATTAACTCCGGTGAACGAGAAAGACGAGTGGAATTCGGTCATAATTTTTTTTATATTTTTATTGACCAGCTAAACTATGTCATAGTGACATTTTTTACGCTTCCATATATAAAACTTCTTCAGCTTTAGAGAAGACTGAAGCCCATTTAATGAGTTGAATGTGAGACCATATTCCACCCTTCTAGAAGACTTCATCTACTTAATTAAATATCATTATTCGGTCTATTTTAAGTATTGATTTTTCATTCACCTCTTAAATTATTTGACTTGGTTTTTGTTAAAATTCTTGTCACATGCATGGCTCCAATGATACAACCGGAGAGTCAATCAATAATTAATGAGTTTTGGTGGGAATGAATTAAGGAGTAAAAGAAAAATAAAATGGTGCAGGTAAATTGGAGGTTGTTTGATTGATTTTCAGGACCCAAATCTGTACATGCTGACAAAATTAAAAGCACAAGAAAATTCAAGATATATATATATGCTCCAGCTAAGATAGAACTGCTATAAAAGAAAAGAAATGTTAGTACCTGCAACTTAATTAATTGACTAAGTACAGACAATAAGTAAAAGAAATTGAAGGAAAACCTGCACCCTCCACCTAACTTAAAGTTTTGTAATAAGGGGACGGTTTTTTTTGACATTAGTAACTGATATCATAATATCACATTCGGTAAACTGGCTTCATACATAGCATATAAAATTAGTGAAATTTGCACTGAATATGACTAAAACATAAGTCATTTTCCAATGTAGCATAAAATTAGCATGAGTTTATTGTAGGGACAACGCGTACTCTCATCCTAGCTCCACATTAGTATGATATTGTCTGCTTTGGGTGATCAAGACTTCAAACGGGTAGTGTCGGCCCGTTAGTCGGGTCACATTGAAGTGTGACTACTTGCTAAATTGTCTTCATGCATTGCATATAAAGTCAACAGGACTTTACTGTAGGGACCGTGCATACTCTCACCCCAACTCCACATTAATATGATATTATCATACTAATGGAGTTGGGTTAACTTATACATTTTGGTCACATTTCTCCTATTCCTCCAGTGTCGGAGGAGTTTGAATTGCATCCAACATGTACTAACCTCTAAATCATCATCAAGACTTGTAGATAAGGAATGTTCACTAAACCGAACAATTATATTGATACCGTGTCAAAGAATCAACCCTTCAATTCCAAAGAAAAACAGATGCTTTTGTGGTAACAAAATTTTTTACAATGTAGTGTGACATAAACTTTTGATCCCATGAATTTCTTGCCACAATGTGAGAAAAAAAAAATAGAGCAGAAATTCTAACAAAACCTGCAATAATTAAACACACTTCAATTCTGATCTAGCTACTTCATTATACTCTTCCCCCCACTTTTCCTTTCTTCTCCATTAATCCCACCAAAACTTGAAAAGGATGGCATGATGATGATGATGATGATGATGAGCTAGCTAGCGATGGCAAAGACACTTGTAATGGTAGGGGCTGTTGATGGGGTCATTACCTTCTACTGGAACTTGTTCAGCTCTGCACTTAAACTTGCACCCTTTGCATTCGTTGTATGTGCACGTCGGCGCCACCGATCCTATCATCATCCTTCTCCCCGTCCCGTGCTCGTTCTTCTTTTTCTCCTGGTCAATTAAACATCGTTAATAAGGAGTACGTTCTGTTAGAATATAAAAAAACATTTCCTGCGCCCAGTCCCTGGGTTGATTGGTTTTTTTTCTCCTTACCTTGGAGTGTGATTCTACACCATTTGAGCTCGCGGCGGCGGCGGTGGCGCCTGAAAGGGTTTGGGAAGACACAAAAGGGTTAGTTGAAGAAGCATAAATGGAAAAATGGGGAAAAAAAGAGTGGAAAAAATAATGTATATTAGGAGAAGGGCAATATGGGAAGTGATGACCTTGAACTGCTACATGATGATGATGATGATGATGAGAAGCAAAAATTAGAGGGAGGAGGAGGAGGAGAAGAATAATGGAGATGTGAGGGGTAACTTTTTTGGCCATAATATTTATAATCTTTCTTTGTTTGTTTGTTTGATTGTGTGGGAGGATTGAACAAAAGCATGGAAAGAGATGGTGAAGAATGGTTTATGATAGCTAGGGTCACCAGGTCAGACCTCAAAGTTGAACTCATTTTTGTCATGAGCTTGAATAGGGAGTAGGTGCACACACAAACTTTGAAAAACTAGAAAACTGATATGACATGAATTGAATTTGAAAAACTAGAAAAGTGATATAAATTCTAAAATATGGAATAAAAATATTTAGAAATATTTAAAATTTGCTAAGGTTTATTAATGATAGGTGGGAGTGATTGGTGGTGGTTGATGTGATGGCTGACAGAGGAGGGAGGCCGGGAGGTAGCCAAGGTCCCGTGGCCGGCAGCGAGTTTGTCAAATGAACAATGAAAATATCAAAATATGTATATTGCGTACTACGCTCGCAAAACAAAGAAACAGTTACCTTTCATAACAAATACTCCTTTCGTCTCCGAGTATTTGTTCACTTTTGACTTTTTTCGATCAAAATTGGTAAACTTTGACTTCAAATTAAAAAAAATGATATTAGATATTGATAAAAAATAGTTTTATTAGATTTGTTATATCAAATATTTTTAAAATATTATTTTATCTAATTAATGTACGATATATATTTTATTCCGTATTTAATTATAAGTCAACGGTTGAAAACAGTTGATCGAAAAAAGTTAAAACTGGACAAATACTCAGGAACGGAGGTAGTAAAGCTTTTTACTTTGTACCTTATGACACTCCTAACAAATACTCCCTCCGTCCCAAAAAGATCTTCCTGTTTCATTTTTTGCGCATCCTATAAAAAACTTCTATACACATCTAAAATGCTTAAAATTTACCACATTTCTCATTTATTGTAAGTAGAAGTTGTTTTGAAAGTTTTTTTTGCATTTGAGGCGGGATAGAAGTGTTTTATGAGACGCGCAAAAAATGAAACGGGAAGATCTTTTTGGGACGGAGTGAGTACTAAATTTTATTTACTTTATGGTTGAATCTAGCTAAACAAGCTAAGTTATGGTCGTCTATGGATTTAAATAGTTCACATTGTATTTCAAACCTTTCATTTTAAAGAAGGGAGAATAGTCAACTGGTTAAAATCGATCAAATGATCCAGTTTTGCTCTTAATGAAAAAGATAAAGTATTGGCTCATTCCGGAATAACGTTTTCAGTTAGTGTCTTCGTTTTTGGATAAAGTTTTCACAGTACAGATTAACTTTGAAAACGACAACGCTAAACGTTGCATGTAGATAGATTTTTTTATAATGTCAACGCTAGCGATGATATTCTCAAACAGGCCCCAAATCAAAAACTTAGAAAAAAATAATGTGTAAATGGAGCATTGAATATTTGAACCAATCTAGCTAATGGAGTATCAAACAATGAGTGTCTGGTAATGGAGTTGAGGGACCCATATCTAATCTAATCCATAAAATCTACGACTTTCCTCCCAAAATTAAGTTTAGAATTGAATTTGACTTCACAAAAGTTACAATTTGACTTTTTCCTATATATTGATTTGGCAGTCATTTGTGTTTCTACCAGACAATTGTTTGGACAATATTTGTCAAATGATCTCCCCCTCCCTATTTAATATTTTCATTTGACTTTTCTCTGTTAAATTTTGTAAATTTTAACTTTGATATAGAAAGTGAAACTCGAAGAAAATTTTTGTACGGGGTAATACTATATGTTTATGGCGTTCAACTGCATTTTCTCTCACTATTTAATTAAGTGGTAAAATCTACTACTTCAAAAATTTCTTCAAAAATTCTTAAGATAAAAAGTGATAAGAGCATTTTATTTTCTCAAATAATCAATGAAAACCCTTAAATAAATAAAAATCACCATACGTGAATTTCGAATAGTACAGAGTGCTATTCTTTTTCAGATGTTGAGAATATTGGATATTGATAAATGAACAATTTTATTTGATTTATCTTGTAAAATATTTTTCAATACATTATTTTTTAATAATATATAGTAATATAATATGTAATATTTACTTAAATACTCCTTCCGCCCCTGGGAATTTGTCCACTTTTAATTTTTTTAGGTCAAATTAAATTCGTAAACTCTGGCTTCAAATTAAATAAAAATAATATATATTTTATTTAATTATAGATCAAACATTAAAAAAAGTTGACCAAAAAAAATCAAAAAGTAGATAAATAATCAGGAAAGGAGTTATAAGAGAAATAACGATCTTGATTGAATGCAAAAAATCAAATAAATATTTGTACTAAATAATACTAAAACTTAAGTCATTTCGCTAAATGTATGGCATTTAAACTGTTTTATTCTTTAAATAGCATTTAATAATAATTAATAATGTTCATTATGTCCAGTGATGATTAACTTTTACTTGAATAATGACTAATGTATAATGACTAAAAGTACTACATTGCAAAAAAAATACATATAATACTATTTAGGGAAAGTAATTATGTTTTGGTGCTGTTTAATTAAATTCACCAATGCAAAAAATCAAAACTGTACCCATAAATGTATTTTTTTTTTACTTATTGATAAGCTATCGGCGCGCGCACATGGATTTCCCATGCATGCATCGCGATGACTATACTTTACGTTATCATATCAAGCTTTATAGTTCACAGTAGTTGAAAAGTAATTATTCCTTGACTCAGCTCCGCCGGCGACGGCGGTGTTGTTGATTCCCGTCCGGTCGAGAGGAAAGTAAAATGGATAAAGCTCATATCGGACATAGCAACTGCTGTATAAAACCCGGCACCCCTTCTTATTGTTGCAGAACCCGCCGGCGGCGAAGTTTTTCTCGACGGCGATGGCCAGACACTGAGCACAGTTCACCTGCGACAAGTCCCTCGTGCACTGTACCAGCGCGTACAACGTCACGAACTCCGAAAGTTGCCTCTTCCCTTTTCCCAGCCCTTTGTTCTCCGGCGCGGTGGCTTGTTTAGCGACATCTTTTTCCAGTTTCCCCAAGGCCTTGTTGAACTTCTCCGGCTCCGTCACGTTTTCCACGTTTGCGTATAGTGTCCCACTACCGGCGTCGACGTCTCCGATGAAATCCTCAGTGTTGTACCTGAATGAATAATTTATAGACAAACTCAATAGTATGAGGAATTTCCGTAAATAGCACTAAAACATAATGATTTTCCCTAAATAGCACTACATGTGTTTTTTCCCCAATGTAGCACTTTTAGTCATTATTCATTAGTCATTATGGACACTATTAAGTTACATTTAGGGAATAAAATAATTTCAGTGCTATTTAGAGAAATGACTTAAGTTTTAGTGCTATTTAGTGCAAATATTTCTTTTTTTATTATTTATTCTTATTAAAACCAAATCAGCCAAAACCAAATCAGAAACATCGTTGAATATAACTATATCCAGACCAGTTCAGATTAGATCAAGTCAGATTAGAACAAGCACTCAGCCTGTCTCGAAAATATCTTTCGAGAATTTAATTAACATACCTCATGAAGCAGTACTCATACCAAATCCGGGCATCGACCCGGTCGGGGCAACGGGTTCGGATATCCAAGGACGCTTGTCGGATGCAAGAGGAACAGTCTTTCGGGCTGACGTCGCCCCTGCACTGAGCCAGCCCGTAGACTCGGCTTTGGGACTCGCCGGACGAGGCGGTGGCGAAGCCATCTCGGGAGGCGGCCGGCACCAGAACAGACAACACTTTGGCGGTGTTTGATGATGTTTGGTTGTCTGGTTTTTGGCTGTTTGGGTTGCAATACAGTCCGGTGTAGTCTTCCGCCGGCTCCACGGCGTAGAAGCCGGTGGTGGAGAGGGTTAGGAGAATGAGGAGAAGGTGGCTAAGGATAGCCAAAGCCATGATTAATTATGGAGGAATTAGTTAGTGGAATTAATAATGTGATTGAAATGAATGATTGCCTTTGGCTGTGTATTCTTGATGATTATATATAGGCGGTGGGGAGTATAGTAGGGAAGACATTCAATAATATTTAGTTTTTACATTTTTAAAATTAAGGTAATTAATTACACCATTAAATATTCTAATTAAATTACTCTGCGTTAGTTAAAGTGTAGTTTCAAAATAACGTCATAATCACAGAAATTTTGAGTTCAAAAATTTGACATAATATATTTATGGACATAAATAAATTAAATAATTGTAAGTTGTTTAGATTATTCAGACAATATTAGTCATTATGTATATATGTATATAAGTTTTAGTCAATATATAGTACTCCGTATAAATTTTACTTAATTACTAGTTAAAGATTAAAAATAATTAATTAAAAAATTAAAACGGAATAAATAGTTAAAAGGGATATTTTGATTAATATTCTAGTTGGTATTATTCGATGGCAGACATAGTTGACATAAATAAGTGGCTCCCAAATAAGTCAACAATTGGGACGTGCAAGTTGCTCCTAGCCTCCTCCCCGGGCTGACCTTATCACATTCACAATAATCCTTTCCTCATTGATCAATTAGTGTACGTGATTGGAAGTTAAAAAATTTATAAATTGATATTATTACTATATTATTTTATCAAATCATAAATTAAATTATACAACATTTGTTAAATTGAACTGCATTCAAAAAAAAAGAACTTATCGTAAAAAACGTTATACGGAATATATGGAACCACTTGTTCGAAGAATATTTCACAATTCTCTCTTAGATAAGCATGGGAGCCAACTCTAATTTCTCTCCAAAAGTCAAAAGTAGCTCCAATTGCTCCAAAGTCAAATGGTAGAATGTTTCCTATGAGTACTTTTTTATGAAATATTTACACTAAATAACACTAAAACTTAAGTCATTTCTTTAAATAGTATATATTTAAATTGCTTTATTTCTTAAATACCACTCCATAATATCCATAATGTCCAATGATGACCAATATTTATTTGAATAATGACTAATGAAAAATGACTAAAAGTGCTAGATCGAAAAAAAAACACATGTGATGCTATTTAGTGAAAGTCATTATATTTTAGTTTTATTTACGTAAATTTTCTTTTTTTTATATCAAAGGAGTATAGGCTGGGTGGATATGATACGGTTCCGGTCTGGTTGTAATTTTAGAACCAGCAGTTTCGGTACCACTAGGCGAATGAACCTGCTTGTCGACGGTTACATTTCTAGTTTCGGTAGGAATAATACTTTTTTAATTTTTAATTTTTAATTTAAAGTGTGATATATGACTAAAATATTTGTCTAAATATGGTTGCAATTTGTATAATAATTAAAATTAAATACTATACAAGTCTCAACAACATTTAATGTCCCAACGATTCAAAATAAAAGCGGCGAGGTAAAGCAAGGTATGAAAATCCTCGAGAGAGCTTATAAATCGCTAAACTAAAAAACCTAACTTACAATTATAGAAAAAGGTAAGTCTCTCGTTCGAACTACTATATCACTTTCCACCGTAGTTGGGTCTACTATCACTCTATTCTTAAAAGCATGGGAATTATTTTCCCGCCCAATGCATTCATCTCCTACACCGTTGATATCAAGGAACAAACAAGATCTACGGCTATGATTGGTTGTGTAATATTACTTATTTAGAATGATAAATTAAAGGAAATTTTGAATGCATAATCACTCTATTCTGATAAAAAAGGAAGGGATTAATTTGTTTTCTAACCAATTTTAATTTGCCTAAGGGAGAAAAACCAAAGTAGGACTAAAACATTGAAAATATCATTCTATTCTTAAAAGCAGGGGAATTATTTTCCCGCCCAATGCACTCATCTCCTACACCGTTGATATCAAGGAACAAACAAGATCTACGGCTATGATTGGTTGTGTAATATTACTTATTTAGAATGATAAATTAAAGAAAATTTTGAATGCATAATCACTTTATTCTGATAAAAAAACAAGGGATTAATTTCTTTCCTAACCAATTTTAATTTGCCTAAGGGAGAAAAACCAAAGTAGGACTAAAACATTGAAAATATACCAAAATAGGACTTCCATGTTTTTATTCCCGAAATAGGACTTACATTACCATACATGGTCATATACATTACCAAACAAGTATAGTAATTTCCACATGTACACTGCCACATTACAACATGGCAAAGTCACATTACCACAATGCAAAGTCCTATTTCGGGGAAAAAACATGGATGTCCTATTTTGGTACTATTTTCTATGTTTTAGTCCTATTTAGGATGATTTCTATTTGCCTAATTACTTGATTGTGATAAAAAAGGAAGAGACGGTGCAGAAGATTTTTTATATTTTGTTTCCTTTTTAAATAGGTAATTATTTACGCCTAATTATTACTAGTATTATTATTATTACTTGGAATAATTTATGCCTAATTATTTTATCAAAAAGTAATTATTTATGCCTAATTAAATAGGTAATTATTTACTTAATCACTCTATTACTAAAAGGAAATACTTTTAAGAATAATAGAATGATAAATTTAAGGAAATTTCGCGTGCATAATTACTTAATTCTGATAAAAAAGGAAGGGACTAATTTCGCAAACAAGATCTACGTTATTATTTATATAAACTTCTTTTCTAATACCAAACTTTTTTATAAAATTGGAATTCATATAATAAAAAAATAATTACCATTCAATTAAAAATAATATTTGTCCATAAAAGGTAATAATGACGTTAAGGTGTACATTTTTTAATCTATGCATTAAATTTACAGTTTCGTAATTTATATAATTTCCAATTTAGAAACAGACCATTTTAATCATACAAACCATTTTAGTCATATGTACAAACCATTTGTTTCCTTTTCGGAAAAAAATCAAATCTAAAAGAAATGTCAAAGTAATACATAGAAATGACAGTACATATAGTAAGTGTTGAATAAATAAATGATAATTAAATCATAAATCACCGTGTAATAAGAATAGATCATGCATTACCGTGTAACAAGAATAATAATATTAATATATCGTGTAATAATATTTCCGTATTTAATCATTATTAATTTATTACCATGTAAGAAGAATGATAATAATATACTGTGTAATAAAATTACCGTACTTAGTCATTATTATCGTCTAATAATTCTAATCTAAGAAGCTTTTAGTTTAAAAATGTTTCCATTTAGATAACATGGCCAAACTTAATATTACCATATTTAATCATTATTAATTTATTACGGTGTGATTATGTTAAGAAAATAAGATATCAATTTAATTATGTTTCCATTTAGAAATTCGGTGCCAAATATTTTATGAAGAAATTTAAATTTATAAGTTTATGCATTTAAGGAAGGCACAATTAAAAAAATCAAAATAAAAAATAATAAAAGAAATTAAATATAAAAAAATGTCAAAGTAATACATAAAAACGGTGGCACATATGTTAAGTGTTGAATATAGAAATAATAATTAAATCATAAATTAATTTGTAGCAAGAATAAATCATGTATTACCGTGTAGAAAAAAATAATAATACTAATATACCGTGCAATAATATTAATGTATTTAATCAATATTAATTTATTGTCATGAAAGAATAATAATAATAATGTACTGTGTAATAATATTATCGTACTTAGTTATTATTATCGTGTAATAATTCGAACCAAATAAGCTTTCAATTTAATAATGTTTCCATTTAGAGATCCAGGCCCAAACGTTTTATGGAGACATCGTTTTAAAAGGTGTGCCTTTAATACATAGAAATGTATTGAATAATATATACCTTTATATGTTGAACAATCAACCACTATATAATAACTTACCCGGAAAAAATTAGATGCATGGAAATAGAAAAGTACTTTAAGTTTTTCATATTTTAAATACAGTCATTCTCAATCACTTTTCGTAATTAGCCTCTTTCAAATTTTTTGAATGACTTACACTCTCTTGAGCTCTTAAACAAGATTCATGCTTTCGGAGTAGAAAATCATGAAGAAGTCTTTAAATAAATAAATGTTTTAAAAGTTTGATATATAAAAATTATACGAGTAATGTAGTTTATAAAGAAGTCTTTCATTATTTGTAAAACAATTAACTTTTATACTTTAAAATAATAAAATCTTTGTGTTCTACTCCCTTCGTCCCGAAAGAAGTTCCCTTATTGACTTTTTGGAAAATTAAGAGAGACATATTTTGGTGTTGACTTTCCAAAAATACACTTGATGTGATTGATAAAAGTAAGATGTGATAGATAGATTAGTAGTAAAAAGGTATGATGTGATAGGTATGGTATGAAAAAGTAAGGGTAAAAGTAGTTTTTAATAGAAAAGAGAAGGAGTTTGTGGGACAGAAAAAATGAAAGGAGAAGATGTTTTTAGGACGGAGAGAGTATTAGATAAGAAATTGTATCCTTCAAAAATGATTTTAATTTAGTAATATAAGTATGACCCGTGCAACGCACGGGAGTGATGCTAGTATATGTAGTTTTGTGTATCGATGTCGTATATCCCGCCTCTTGTCATCAACGTCTCACCAAGAGCTTATCTCGATTGCAAACTAGTATCTCCAATGGTTCAGCATTGAGGAAACTCTAGAAGTCATTCAAAATATTGCCGCTAGAACTAAACTCTTGTTCCACGACTATCGTTGGCACTCGCAGAGATAACACATGTTTAACTAGCATTCCCATTGACGGGATAACATGCTAAACATAATGGAAAATGATATATATGTGTACACCAAAGATTGTACCCCACTTAGTACCCCGAAGACATGCACCAATATTTTGTATTAGTGTGATGCTTTATACTGACACAAAATATCAGTGCAATTTTTTTTATTGAATTTACATTTTGTACTAGTATGAATCATTAAAGTGTTGGTGTATCCATTTGGGACACACTTCGCTACATTTCTTGGTGTATCCCTAGCATAGTTGAAACATAATACCATTGTCCAACAAGGGTCATCATCAAAAATTTGAGATTCGACTTTTTTTCAAAAGAATAAATTTCCAAAATAGTCCTTTCTAGTAAGGTGTTTTTCCAAATCAGCTCTCTCAATAAGTTAATTTTATTTTTCTACGTGTTCCTCTATAATTGAGATTTATTTTCTAAATAGTCATTCGTAAATAATGTTACTTAAATGATGATTTATTGGAAGGTATTTCGGTATGTTTTACTAGCTAAATTTAAAATAAGTTACTTGCCATGATCATTTCTAATGAAGTTTTTTTCTAAAATGGTTTTTTCTAATTAAAGATGAGTATTTGATACAAATTTTAAAAAGATTTTTTATGTGTTTTGAATAATTTATAGATCGTGTATAGTCAATATATTGTTTTAATTTTACATTTAATTGTATATAAATGACCATGTTAAGAATTTACTTTAAATTTAGATGATAGAAATACCAAAATATCATTAAATTAATTTTCATTTGAATAACATTATTATTTGCGAAAGAATACCTGTAGAAGAAATCTCAATTTTAAAGAAACAAGTAGGTAATTAGAACTTATTGAGTACTGAACTGAGAAAAAAATACCTTATTACAAAAAACTATTTCGGAAATTTACTACTTGCTCTGCCCCAAAATGTAAGCAACGATTACTATTTCAACTTTTCAATAACTTTTATTTGTTTACTCGTTTTGATTGACCATTTCATAACATAAAATATTTTTGTCACATCTTGTTTTATAGAATTTTTGGTCTATGTAACTTTTACCTTTTACTCTTCTATCAATTTAAAGTAAAATAATTTGAAAGAGATAATATGCTACACTGTTCGAAACTTTGCTTACATTGTGGTGGGGTGAGGAGAGTATTTATTTCAAAATTCGAAACAATTAGACATCCATGACTCCGGCAATTAATGCGGCAATCGCGGAGCGGAGTATAACCCGATAAATTCACCCGTCTTGGAAGTCTCATTTAGTCAATCATCAATTTTGAAGCGGACACCGCTCATTTCTCCTGCAATCCTGTCGGATTTTAATGGAGGAAGACGACGGAGAAGAGTACCTGTTCAAGATAGTCGTCGTCGGCGACTCGGCGGTGGGCAAATCGAACCTGCTATCCCGATTCGCTCGGGACGAATTCGACCAGAACTCCAAAGCCACCATCGGAGTCGAGTTCCAGACCCAGGTCGTGGTGGTCCAAGGCAAGGAGGTCAAGGCCCAGGTCTGGGACACCGCCGGCCAGGAGCGCTTCCGGGCCGTCACCTCCGCTTACTACAGAGGCGCCGTCGGTGCCCTAATCGTCTACGACATCACCCGCCGGACTACCTTTGACAGCATCAAACGCTGGCTTGCTGAACTCGACAGTAATGCTCCCTTCCCTTGTCTATTTTTGTTTTTTCATAATTCATAGGAAACATTTATTTTGGTTTCTTGAGATTTTCAAAATTCAGCTATAATTACTTGATGTTCTAGGTAGAATTCCTTGCTTATTCTGAACTAATTAACTGTACATTTTAATGAGCTGATTCTTAAAAATCTGATTTTGAGAATCACAGTTGACCAAAGAAGAATCAAAGCCAAATGAGCCCATAATGTCCAAATTTCAAACCAAACTAAAGATTAAATAGTACTTGTTATAGGGTCATGTGTATTATTTTAATGAGGGAGATTTGATCACTAGTGTCAATCTCACATTTCTCTAATAGTAGGTTTTAGAACAATATGTCTAGAAAATGGATTGCACACGACACATTCGACTTGTTTTATAGAAGTTATGATGATGTAGGTGAAATATAATGGAGTTGCTCGTTCTACATTCGTTTAACTTGTTCGAGAGAAAGTGTTTATGAGGTAATCGTGCGTAGTCTAAGGTTACGATTACCTCCAAATCTTCTTGTTTCGTTACATGTGAATTGGCAAAGAAGGGAGGTAGGTTATTATATTTGTGCCATGAATACACATTTGCCCATGGCTTTGTTATGTGCAACTCCGTATATACGGAGTATTATTATATAAAGAAGTGTGAAGGTAATATGTATAAAACCGAACTTCATTTATCTCATTATTTGCCAAATACTCCGTAGCATTTTTATGAAACACTACCTTCATAAAGTTACTCCAAACTATCTACCTCTAGTTACCTTCATTTATTGACCTTAATTGAACTTACTTGTTTTGCATCTAACTCTCTACTAACCTTCACTTGTTACCTTAGTTGGACTTAATCTGACTCTTCCCAAACACTGAATTAGATTTTTACGTGTAGGAACTTAATGACATTGAGTCTCTGTACTTGTTGGGCAAATAGTTGTTAGAGTAGTAGTTAGCTCCTATTGGTATGGAGTTCCATGTTTTGACTTTTTGCCATCTCAGTTTTTTGCTAGGAAAAAGTTGTAAAATAGGTACTTTTTTTTTTATAGAGAAAAGCTTTAAGCTACTTTGGAAAGCTGAGGGTAGGGCTTTTGGCAAAGTAACTCATTGAACCCAATAAGCTGTTCACCAAGCAACCAAAAAAAAACTCATTTGGCTGCTCAAACCTCTTACAATACAAAGTAACTATACACTCCCCAATTTTCTTTTTTCCCAAACATATTACTAATGGGAAGTTCTTTTGATCCTAGATCTCATGGTCATAATTGAATATGACATCGGTCATTTGAGGTGCCTACGGTACTCTGTTAGACCCCAAAATAGTTTTTACCCCCTAATCTCCATAGCCCGTCTCCTTCCCCTACCTCAGCCCCCTCATCCGGATGACAATCCACTATCAAAATTTTGACAGTAGATTGTCACCGGGGGGGGGGGGGGAGGAGGAGACATGCTAAGAGGGATTAGGGGGTAGGATCTGCTTTGTGATTCAAATGGACCCAGTGTCATCTTATGACACTAGGGTCGAGTGTCAAGAGAACTGTGGTGTATTGACAAATGGTGGCACAACTATTACTAATAATGAAAATGATGCAGCTCACTGTGACACGGCGGTTGCAAGGATGCTAGTGGGGAACAAGTGCGATCTCGAGAGCATCAGAGAGGTGAAGGCAGAAGAGGGGAAGGCTCTTGCAGAAGAAGAAGGCCTATTCTTCATTGAAACCTCTGCATTGGACTCTACAAATGTCAACACTGCCTTTGAGATTGTGATTGGCAAGATCTACAAAAACGTCAGCAGAAAGCTGCTCAACTCCGATTCCTACAAAGCCGAATTGTCGGTCAACCGAGTCAACCTCGCAAATGGAGTCGACCTGTCTAAGCAAAACACCAACAGCTACAACTGCTGCTCCACATAAATGTTCTGTTTTGGCCATTCCTCATGTTGTTGTTTGTTACCAAAGTACTTTTTTTTTGTTTGTTGCGGATGCAGTTGTGCTGCGATGAATGCGAGAGACAGTGATAGTCGATGAAGTTTTATCGCGACGATATGTAGTTGAATACTTGAATCACTATAAGAAAGAGAGTTACTATTTTTCTAAGGCTCTGTAATAGTTGAAGTAGATTAATGTGAAGAAAGAGACATGCAAGCTATTGAAAATGTAGTTAAGTGGTGAAGACAAGCATTGGATATTGGCGGTTTGTTGTTAGGTGTGTGTCTTGGCTAACTTGAATGATTTAATAAGTTAGTTATCTTGATCGGTTATTTGTATGACTTATGTTTTAGTCTTATTCAGTGCAAATTTCACTATTTGTATTAGTTGTTAATTGATCATCTGGTGAGAACCATGTGGCAGAAGAAGAGATTGACATAAGAAGACTTGATGCGAAGTGGTCTTGAGACAATTTTACGTGAATGATCTCGTTGTAGATATATTGCACGAATAGGCACAATGGCATCTTTTGGTTAATGTAATCAACCCCATCTAGTGGGATAAAGTTTTGTTGTTCTTGTATTTGTATCAGTTGTCAATAGAATTATTTGATAAATTTAGTTGTTCATAAATAACAATTTGTAGTTGAAACTACATTTTAGAACACGTCTCTATGTGTGTTGATTGAAGTTGTTTGTAATTTGTTTAGTTTTTTAAATTTAATCATCTTAGAATAATCTTTTTTATAATATTTTTAATCTATTTTTAACAAATATGCATTTTACTTTTTAAAAAATTGGTTTTATTTTAGTATACCTTTAGAATAAGAATATGGGTGTTATTTCAAGGCTGATTTTTCAATTTTCAATGGTTCATGTACAAAAGCCAACTCAAAATGTCATTTTTCCAAACAAATTTAATTGGCAACTGTATTTGATTACTGCCATTTATAATCAAATCGCCAAATATATTGACTGAAAAGCAATTTGTCAAACAAAGCCGTTATATTATGATATCAAAATTTGTGGTAAAAAAATCTTACTCGAGGTATAAAAATGGTAACAATTTAGTTTCATACTTTCATGTCAACCCCAATTAATCTCACTTTGCCCACTAATCTGCTACGTGTAGGGTAAGTGGGTGTTTGGCACTGCGTTACTTTTTAAAATCATTTTATTCTGTTTGGCACATTAACTTCGATTCTGTTTTTCTCCATCATCATTTTCATTTTTGACATTTAATTTTGTACATAGAATAGCATTTCGAAGAAGCAGATGTTTGTACTTCTGCTTTCAACTTTTGTGAAAATAACTTTACCACAAGATAATTACGCGCAAACATCCTCCCAATATGTGGGTGGTGCGTTCTAAATAGTATGTAGGGTTATATTTACTCTTATTAGAATTAGATCAGATAAAAAACAAATTTGAATATAATTATAATTAGATCTATCTAATCAGATGAGACAAGCTAAGAAGAACAAGCTCTAAGTTACATGTTACCTGATGTTTTAAATGTTAATGGACAAATATTCCTTTTTCTTCAATTTATTTTTCTACTAGTATTTTAAAATGTGCTCGCACGAGTTTAAACATAATTTTGTTCAAATCTGTAATAATTTTTCTATTTTTTAAGGTTCTATTTTTTACATTCTAACTCTGAAGATTTGTTTAGTTGAGAAAAATAATTTTTCAAAAAAAAATCAATTCTACTTTTCTATGTTTGATTGTATAAGTGGCAGAAAATCATTTTTTGCAAAAAAAATATTTTCTCAAATAGGAGAAAACGACTTTCAATTTTTGAATGAAAGTGTTTTTTTCTATTCAATCCTCAAATACTATGATTTCTTGAGTTCGATCATTTCCTCTACCCATCCACGTCCACTCCAGGCCCGCCCATGAGGGGGTTCATGAGGTGCAGTTGTACAGGGCCTCCAATTACAAGGGGCCTATTTTTTATTTTTCTTCCATGATACCCTATCCTTCTTAATTTAAATTACATATTTATTATTTACATTATTAAATTTCATTTTTTTTATTTTTATTATTAATTTAGTAAAATAATATAGTCGTATCATATTTTGATTCGTAAATTTTTTTATATAATTTTTAAGTAAATAACTTATTTTTTAATTTATTATTATTTTCAAATAAATTGATGTGAAAACAATTTTGATCAAGTATATTCTAAAGTAAATAGTAATGGACAAATTAAGTTAGGATGAAGGGAGTATTAGAATAATTAATTGTTTTTATTTTCACTCTCACAAAATATTTTAAGTTTTCTTATTGCAATATTTTGTTTTTATTTTCTCAACCACATAAAATTTTAATCTTGGTATTTATAAGTGTTGGAAAAATTCTATAAAAAGGATGGATTATGTTTTTTTAGAGGAAGACATTTTTTCTTTTATGTTAATTGATTAATCTTAGAATAAATGATAATGATATTTAAAATTAACCTTCTAACCAAGTTGTCCTCACTTTTACTTTCTACGGAGTATAAGTTAATATACTTTTTCCTTATACATGTATTTGCCATTTTTTGTAATTATTCCATTTAAACTAGTTTATTTTATTGATTCTTTCTTCCTTAATGTCTATTAGCTAACAATTTTAATATAAATATTTATCAATAATAATCAAGCTACTTAATAATCAATAATAATATACTGTTTCATTATAATTTTATAATGAAACAAGAATATAAAATATACTTCTGCATTTTTGTACAACGTTCGCAATACACTTCGTAATTTTTAACTTTAGAGCCTAAATATATGAAAATGCACAGGGCCTTCGATATTGATTGGGCGGGCCTGGTCCACTCCCCCGCCACCCTCCCCGGAAACCCCATCCGATCCTCAAACCCTAGAAAATGGAGATCAATTCTATAAAGAAGATATAATATCAATCGTATATAAAATAATCTTTGCTTCGTCAAATATTTCAAATTAATATCATAATATCTTTAATTTTTATTCAAATAAAAAATGTATTAATATAAAAAAATCTCCTTCTACCTAATAATGGAATTTTTTTTTTTTGAAAAAACAATCCCACCAAACAATATAAAATGTGGAGGAGGATAATTTTCGTGAAAATTGTTTTCCCTTAGAATAAATGTCTAGAAACATATTTTCTCATAGTACTCCTAACTTTCAGTATTTTTTAACTTCTTCTAGTTTTTCAAATTAGTTCTTCCAACTTTCTCCAACATCTTTAAATTTCATCTAATTTCTAGGAATTCCTTTTGATAGTGATTTAAAAAATAATTGCGTGTATTTTTCATAATAATAATAATAATAATAATAATAATAATAATAATAATAATAATAATAATAATAATAATAGAGTAAGTATGTTTTGGTATCAATGCTATTGGTGTCAAATCCCTACTCTCATCTACCACCCCCAATCCCATCCCAACCCGTTTGCCCCCCCCCCCCCAACGTGTCCTTCCCTCACATTCCTTCCAATTCCTTCCTGAATTACCAATATATTTTAATTTTAACAGTGATTAGAGTAGAGGACAGGGCGGGAAAGATTTGGGGTGAGCGGGTGAAGGGTTTAGGGGTTGGTATACGGGTGAGTTTGGAGTATGAACTATCAATTGTATGATCAAAACATTTTAGGTTCTGTAATTGAAGTGGTGTAAGAGAGTTGTGTATAAACGAGTAGTGTCATTTTAGACCTCTTAATAATTAAGAGTATCACGTTTATCACGCCTAATGTTTAAAAGAAAAGAGAGGTATAATGTATAGGGGTGTATATGGGTGGGTAGAAGGAGGGACTGGTGGAGGTGGTGGTGGTGAGAATGTGAGATGATGCGGAGGGGGCGGGGAATAAGGGACGAAAATGATATTTTCTATCTTTTCCTTGTTAAATTGGAGAAAATCATGTTTTTGTTTTTAAAATTTTTCCGATATTAAAGAAACTATAGCATGTTTTAATAGTTTGAAATTCTGTTTTATTATGACATCTGTGAATCATGTTGTCCATTTTGTGGTTAGAAAAGCCGATTCTATATATGTATGATGAGGCCTCTAGAATGACATATCACTCTATTTGCTTTCTTTGTGAATACTACTTTTATTAAAACTATGAATTGAGTTTGAGCAATGCGGGTACACTAAAGGTGTACCCCAAATTTGGTGTACCCCAAATGTACACTACCCATTTCTCCACCACCCATTTTTATTTTATTTTTATTTATTTATTTTTTTTGAATTTGTTGCCTTTTTTGTGGACAAGGAGGGGGTGGGGTACACCAAATTTGTACCCCTAACATTTTTCATTGAGTTTTTATTGTATTATGGAGACATATGGAATATATATACGTGGAAAAACAATTAAAATTAAAATACATGAAAGATGTCAAAGTGATGGTATGATGACCAAACACAAGAGTGAAGAGACATGAGTTAGTGGAGTGCCATCATGTCAACTTCTTCTTTTCAACGTTAAGAGGCTGCTGTTAGTTCATTTCTCTATTTAAGCACTTCCCCACTCTATTTGTTTGCTTCTAATAAATTTGATGGGTCTTTTCCATTGTTAAGATGTGTGACAATTTTATTTTCCCCAAACTACTAACTACTTTTAGTTTTTTTTTTTGTAAAATTTGCACTAAATAGTATTAAAGTATATATATTTTTCCAATGTAATACTTAAACATTTTAATTTTTTAAATAGCACTTGAATAATGTCTAGTGGCGGTTTAATTTCCTGAATAGTACTTGAATAATGTCTACTCGCGAGAACAATGTCTAGTAATGATGGACATTTAGTTCAAACAATGTCTAGTGAGAGTGGACATTTACTTCAACAATGACCAATGTGCATTAAGCGGTGATATTATATTGGAAAATTAAAACATACGAAGTATAATACTACATGCATTGGAAATTTCGTTATGTTTTAGTACTATTTAAGTAAATTTCTTTTTTTTCCTGCTTGCCGACTCATTAATTTTTGTTTCATGCTAACATAAACTCATTCTCATTATTATATGGACATAAATAAATGACTGTGAAAACTGCATTTAACCAAGTAATTACTAGATACCTCACTTTCTCTATGTCAAAGACTTTGTGATTCGATGGCATCAATGCATCTCTTTCACATGGAGGTCAAAGATTCAACCATAATAAATGCAATAACTCTCTTTGTATTAATTAATTGAGAAAATATATGTGAATAGTACTATAATTAATTAATCATAATAGATTTATTAGTGCTAAAAACATTACTTTCTCTTCTTCCTCCCTCTCAACCTAGCATTTTTGTACACAATGTTTTGTTACGTATTTAAAAATATAGCGTGAGAAATTCACACCCCAAATAATTAAATTTATTTCCAAGATGGTAAAATTAAATTTGTATGAATAATGACGGATTTAGCAAACTTAGTTAGCGGCCCATGCCATAATGTGGACTAGAGTGTCCAAATCAGCAACAAAAAGAAGAAAAAAAGTGTTTAGAGTATCTAAATTAGCAACGAAGAAAAAGGGCTCCCTTTTTTCAAACTTCATTTATGCAACTTTTCTGGATCGTTGACTATGGGCATAGTGGTTACTGGTTAGTACTACCTTACTATGTGTACTCCCCTATTACTTTAACTTCTTTTTTTAAAAAAAATAGTTTGACTATTCAATCCCTTGAATGAATGGTTTTACTTTTAAAGAGTTTTATTATCCTATTCATAAGCATCTAGTTGGATGTGTTGTTACAAAATTCAATACATTCAATGATTATATATACTCCCTCAGTCCTATATCTATCTTCCCAAGTTGACTAAAACTCATTTTTAAGAATTTAGTAATTTTGTCTTTGACTCCCAATTTTACCCTTCTTAAAAATGAAAAATCCAGATCCCCACCTCTTTCCGGCAACTGGGCGATGCAACTAACCACAAACGGCGGCAGTGGGTGGCTTGCTCGGAGTGGGTGGCGATGCAATTAGCCACAAACGGCGGCAGTGGGGCTGAAAAAAAATACCTAATTCTATCCAAAAAAAATGAAAAAGAAGACTAAAAACTAAAAAAACGAACCAAAAGTTGAAGAAAAAAAACTAAAACAACCAACTAAAAAAACCTTACCTTCTTTGGATCCCCGTTGCAGATCTGACATTTGGTGAAGTGCTTGATGAATCGCTGATGATATCACCGTGATATCGGCGATGGTGAAAAGTGGTAGATCGAAAGGGGGAGAGAGACTTGGAAACCGAACCCTAGATCTATAATTTTGAGAAGGAGGCGAAGAAAGGAGAGGGAAGAGAGAAGGAGAGGATTGAATCTATAGATTTTGAGGGAGATGGAAGAAAAATGAAGATTACCTGGGTAGAGAGGGAAGAGAGATGGAGGAAGGAGAGAGCAAGAAGAGCGAGAAAGAAGAGAGATGAAGGAAGCCGGGAGAAGAAAAACGGAGGAAGCCAGAGGGTAACATAGTCTTTTTACATCGGAAGATAGTTTAGGACGGAGAAAAAGGAGAATTGAAAGATAGTTTTAGGACGAAGGGAGTACTAATTAGGTTCATAAAATAAGTATAAACTTAAAAATCACAAATTTTCTTTATTTAAAGTATGATTTTAAATTTAAGTACACTAAAATAAAAAAAGGATGAATCTCATCCCTAATAAAGAACCGGTTGGACAATCACTTATGAAAAGGTATAATGTGCTTTAAACACATGCTGGTGATTATAGGGTGGAGCATGCACATGTAACTTGCAGAGGCGATATGCTTAACATACTTATTTTCGAACGCAGTTGTCAGAAATTAAAGTTGGGTATTATCCCTTGACACTCCTTACCTTGCCAAACTGCGCAACACTTACCGAAATACATTTGTAAATTAGAATCTCGTCATATAGGATTGAAATCTTTAATATTTTGGACGAAAAAGTAAATTGTTTTTTTCATTAGCTTAGAGCACTGGAAATACGTATGAAGCCCCGGGGCTTCAAACTATCTCTCTCTGCCACGTCAGCTTCAACTTACGCAAAAAATTTACTGGAAATGGTTTTCAAGCCCCGAGGCTTCAAAGTGGGGCTTCAAACCTACATTTTTTACATTTTTAAATATACATCTTCTAAATTTAAATTAATAAATTTAAATTAATTTATTATTTAAATTAATCGCAATGAGACTAGTGCATTAAAAAAATTACATTCATTATTAAAAAAAATCTTACATTCATAAAAAAACATTCATAAAAAAATTACATTCATTAAAAAAAATATTACATAAAAAAACAACAGTACAAAGAAATCACTAATTATTCGAACGACTAAAGATGTGCTCGATCAAATCCGCCGTTAGTGCATTGTGAATCTCTCGGCTTCGAATTTCTTGGCGGTTGCGTCGTTTCTTTTCTTCGGTGATTTCTTCGTACATATGCACCTCTTCGTCCGGGTTGTATTGACAAATCGCAGTCTCGTTATCCTCTATGATCATATTATGAAGAATAATACATGCGTACATGATATTCCTCATTTTTGTTTGAGAATAACATTTCGACGGACGATCTAGAATGTGTCATTTACTCTTCAAGACCTCAAAGGCTCGTTCAATATCTTTTCTCGCCGCCTCTTGAGCTTTTTTGTAAGTCTGGCGTTTATGACCCATTGGTTCGGAGAGGGATTTGACAATCGTGGAATAATCTGGATATATTCCATCGGCCAAATAATATCCACGCTTGTAAAGCATCCCTCTAAGCTCAAAAGAGGAGTCCGGTGCGGTCTCATTAACCCAATCGTCAAAAACAGGCGATTGATCGAGAACGTTGATGTCGTTGTTCGAGCCCGCGACACCGAAAAAAGCATGCCAAATTCACAAGTCATTCGAAGCAACAGCTTCGAGCATGATGGTAGGCTTGGGATGATCTCTTCGGGAGAATTGACCGTGCCACACAGTGGGACAATTTTTCCATTCCCAATGCGTGCAATCAATACTTCCAAGCATGCCGACAAAGCCGTGTTTAGCGGCATGCCTTGCCTGCAACTGCTGGATGTCGCTCGCTGTAGGCTTGCGTAAATATCTTTTATGATAAATTTGAATAATAGCTTTTGAAACGGAGAGAGTATACCCGAAGTTAGAAAATCGATTCATTTTATTCTCCTACATAAGGTTTTCAATTAGCGTTAGCTATTTATTTATATTCATCTTGGAGTATACCGATAAGATGAAGATTAATTAGTTAGTAGATTCGATTCAGATCCATTACCTGTTTCCCTAGTTAGCTACTCCTTGGATTTTACCTAGTGGGATGTTTTAATTTAAAATATTGTACTCCATCTGTCCCATTGTTTTTGCAGTGTATTCTTTTACGTTTTTTTCTTCCTTCATGCTCTCTTTGTCCCTTAAACTGTTTCTCTTTTTTTCTTGTCCCAAACTTTTTATCTTATCTATTACTGTAAAAAACTATTTTTGCCCTTACTAATTCTTATCTTGCCTATTACATCATATTTTTTTATTAATAATCTATCTATCATATCTTACTTTTACTCATTACATCAGAGATATTTTTGAAAAATCAAATAAAAAATATTCCTACCTTAAATTTTCAAAAAGTTAATAATGAAAAAAATTTAAAAGACAGAGGGAGTATCATATTTTGTTTTATTCGTGTGATAGTTCACAACTATTTTTAGTTTATCTTACTTTTTTAACATCAATATGATTTACAATCAATATTAATTACTCCCCGTGTCCTAAAACCCACTTCTCATTGTGTTTTAAGATGTTTGATTAAAATTATTTTCATCTTACTTTATTAAAAAAATTGGTGTGAAATTTAAAAATGAAATTTATATATGGAATATTTAAAATTATATCTAAAGTCTACGAAACTATAAATGACAAGATTACATTCTTTATCAAACTTATGGACCGCATCAAAATCAAAAAATAATGTTAGGGAAACTAAACCAATTGAACACAAGAAAAGAAAAATAGAGAAATTTACTACGTTCAACAAAAAGAGAGAGAATCGTGTGATAAAGTTCAAATTAGCCCGAAGTAATTAAGATAGTGTTTGGCAACTAGCATTTCATTTCAATTCATGCATTTCAATTTCAAAATTTGAAATCCTGAATTTCAAATGACAAGGGGAGGTGCATGAACTTCAAATTAAATTTTGTTTTGAATGTAAAAAATTTGATTCAAATTCAAATTCAAAATGCTTAACTTTCCCAAACACGAAATTTAAGCCAAATCCAGATTTGAAATCCAAATTCATGTTTCCAAACATACCATAAGAAAATTTGTAAGAAAGACAATGCGAGTTCAAAAAGTCATAATTAATCAAAATCAAACGGCACTTTATTTGATTCTAATTAAAGCAATCAAATCGCTAAAAGTCCCGCAACCGAAACCAATAATGCGTGTAGAATCGAATTGGCCATCCGATTCGCCGAGGAGCCGCCGGCGTCAGTCCCGGTGGGGCTCTGCACCGATGCAGGGGAGGTCGGGATGGTGCTGTTACTCCCGTTCCCACTGGTTGGAGCGGCCGCCGGCGAAGCAGCCGGAGCCGCGCCCTTTCCGGTGCTCAACTCCAGTGTCACTTTAGAATCTTGGGCCGCATCCAGGGAATGCCTCAGCGGCATCTGGGACTGGGATTGGACCGGACCCGCCTGCCAGAGAAGGTTCAATTTCCGGGTCATGCTCTTCGGCAGATCTGTAATCGCGGCGGAGATCGTGATTACGCCGGCGGTGTCGCCGGCGGTGAGGTTCTTGACGGGCCAAGGCATGCTCTGCTGGGTTATGGTTCCTTTCGCATTGAAGGTGAGATTGTAAGGTTTTGCGGTGGTATTCCCGGACGGATCTTTGTGGGCGAGTAAGGCAAACGCGCCGGGCATGCCGGTGCCGGATGGGTTGAGGCCCAAGGCGACCCACCCGCCGTCAATTACTGGCTTTGCAGCGAAGAAGAAGGAGAACGAGGAGTTGGCGGCGGTGTAGTGGAGGGTTGCATTGAGGGCGGGGAGCTCCGTGCAGCGGGCGTAGCGGCCCGCCGGCTTTGGGGAGGTGCAGCTCTGCGAGAGTGCCGGTGAGGTTAGCAGAGATCCGGTGAGGAGGAGGAGGAGGGCGGCGAGGAAAAGAGAGGAGGTGGACATTGTTAGCTGCGACGGAGATTGGCCGGCCGGCGGGTTGTGTGAGGCGGAGGCGGTGGGGGAGGTGGGTTAATACGGAGTATCTCTGATGGAGAGGGAGGTTTTATAGGGAAGACGGACGGTTGAGATTTTGGAAGGTAGGGCTTATGTGGGACCCATGGTGTAGAGTTGTCTGGGACGTGTTGAATTAACTTGAACTAGAACCAATGCGAAACTTCCACGTGTCATAAATAGTTGATGTGAACTTCTTAGTATTAGAATTAGGATTACAATTAAAATTTAGGAGATTATGATTAGGGAATTAGGGTTAGGATTATGATTAGAGACTAATTTGGGCGAAACTAGCCTTTTCTACATTAGCATCTAAATCTAGGGCATGTTTGGGAATAGCAATAGTCATTAGCATTAGCATTTCGAAAAGATTATCTATAATCAACGCTTAGGGTTAGTGTTTTCAAAGTAATCTGCATCGTTAAAATTTTATTCGAAACGCTAACACTAATCTCAAAAGCTTTTCCCAAACAGACTCCTAATAATTTGTGTGAGAAAGTCCAAGAATAGACCTTAAATGCAAGAAATCACTACTCTAGTAGGAGGGCTAAGACTTCTAAGAGTACACGGGTGATACACGAGGTTGACTCACTACAAGAAAAAGGAGTTTTAGTTACGGATCAATTATGACGGGTTGATAATACTCTCATTAAATGAGTTATTTGTACATCTTTAATAAGGGGAAAAAACCCTAATTAAAAGGGGTTACTTTTAGTGACCAATTTTTTTCATTTTTCTTGTTTAAAAGTTAATACTCTCATTATATATTTCTAAATGGCCAAACTAAAATATACGGAGTATTAAAAAATGAAATTGTATTTTTGGGAAGAAATACGAGTAGTTATTTGTAGAAAAAAACAGCGGCAATCCAATTGGGTTTGCCGCCTAACTTCCCTTTTCCCATTGTTACTGAGTATTTTGGTGAATATTTCCTAAAATTTTCTCAGATTCACAATCCCGTGCGAAGTCCAGCCGCCGCCTGTGTACAAGTTCTCCTTCAGCCACTCCTTCCGACGACCAGTTTAGGAACCAGAGACCTATTTCTGTTGTTCTTTCCTGGTGTTTCTAGGGATTCGACCAGAGGGCCGGACAAGAGCTCCCTTCGCCACCAGTTTCCCTGTCTTTCGCTTACTCAATTCCAGGTAATTTTCTTTCCTAAATCAGGTTATAATGTTTAATTTTTTCCCCAGTTTGATAAACTTGGTTAAAGTTCTCACGAGGATTTGAGCATCTAATCGCCTTTCTGATTCAATGATCCAAAATATTTGACTTTGCTTTTGTTTCAATCCATTCTGTTTATAAAATTTGGTGCAATTTGTTCATCAATTGGGTTTGAATTTTGATTCTATGGCAGCATTTGTGGCCATTCTTGAATGTTTTTCTTGTATTTGTTTGAGCAACCTAAATACTTCGTATTTATGAAATTACTAGCTTCCCTACTGGCTTAATTCTGGTTTTAAGGTGGCTTAATACTGCCCAAGTATTTTGTGTTTGGTTTTCAACATCTAGTTTTAATGTGGATTTTTTTTGTTTTGGTTCTGGCAGCTAGGTTTTAGAGGTATGGTTTTATAATTTTTAGCATCTGGCTTGGGGGGGGGGGATTTTTGTATTTGGCTACTAGTTTCTGGGAGAATGGTTTTCGGTTGGCACCCGCTGGTGTTTGTTTTGAGCAGCTTGTTTTTGGGGGATGTTTTTTTGGTTTTCGGGTACTGGTTTAGTTTTTCAATATCAGGCTTTTGGATTTTAGCAACTGGCTTTTGGGTGGGCTAGTTTATGGTTTCGATCAAACTGCTCAGATTGGGATTCCGGAGTATTTTGAGAAAATTTTGATCAAACTGCTCAGATTAGCAACATCTTACACCGATAACAACTTACCTTGCAGAGTCCGGCATACACGAGCTCCTTCAGCCATTCTGTCCGACGACTAGTGGTTAGGGATACAACCTGAGGGATACGGCTTTTCCAGCGATTCGTCTGCCACTCTTTCTCCTGGTTTTTTGCTTACTCTCAAATCCAGGGCTCGGGGTTACGATCTCTGCCAGTCAGCCGCCAGGTAAAATATATCTGTATTAACCATCATACTTGTAAAATATCTTTCCCAAAGCAGGTTAAAACTTTGAATTTATTTCCCAGTACAATGAGTTTGGATTAATTTTCTCATGAGGGTTTGAGCATCCAATCAGCTTTCTAATTCAATAATCTATAATCTTTGACTTTGTTTCTTCTCTGAATCCGTTTTTGTTCATAAAGTTTGGTGAAATTTGTTCTTCAATTGGGTTTGAAGTTTGACTCTTTGGCACCATTAATGGTCTTTCCTTAGGGATGAATGCTTTTCCTCTATTTGTTGGAGCAACCTAAATACTTCGTATTTATGAAATTATTAGCTTTTGTACTGGCTTAATTCTGGTTTTAAGGTGGCTTAATACTAGGCAAGTACTTTGTGTTTGGTTTTCAACATCTGGTTTCAAGGTGGATTTTTTTGTTTTGTTTTTGGCAGCTAGGTTTTAGAGGTATGCTTTTTAATTTTCAGCATCTGGCCTCTGGGGGGTGGATTTGTGTGTTCTATAATCTGTATTTATTTAGTAATGATCAAATCACCAAAAATACATTCACAAAGAAGACATGATTCTAGTTTGCGAATAACACGGAAGGGGACATTAGACTTTTAGGACACAAAATAAATTTGTAACCAAAAGCTTTTTTGGCAAACAACTACTTTGACCTTACTTTTTCTAGAGTAGCTAATTCAAACAGAAAATACAAGCCACTAATATAAACTGTTAATCGAATCTGCAAAATGTAAACTTAGTAACTAGAATATTATATGCACTTGAAATGCGTATAAGAATCATGATGCTTCTTGGTCATGATTTGGGGAGTGTTTCACCCCTTTGACTAATTCTTTTTGTCACTAGTGAAGTGGATGCTTCCTTTCTTTCCTACACTATTCAGGGATGGTCTTTTACTGGTGGTTGCATCAGGTAGAAATACAATATCAATTGCAAGCTCCATTAAAAGATCGATTGGCATCTGAAAATTAACGTGTTTGTTATCCAGGTTTGTTTGCAAACTTCTTATCATTTTGTATTTCTTTTCATTTTTCTTCTTCGGGCCTGTTTCATAATTGATTCAGAGTATTTATTAACAGCGGAGCAGACCTTGCAAATATGGTGTAGACCTTGCCAAGCAGATAACGTCTTTGCACAATATTTTGAGAGATGTGGCAGTGTAAGAATAAGTTTCTCGAGGCAGACTCCTGAAAAGGTATTATATTTTGTAATAATCAATTTCCGGTGGGGAATTAGTATATATAAAGGATTTTGTTAACATATTATACTCTGAATATCATATTTATAGCACGGAACGGCAGCACAAGGGGCTTAAAGACCCCTTTTGTCAACTAATTAACTCTAATGCCTCGGGGTATTTCTTTTGTGAGCTACATATTTACAAAGTACGTTATAATCAAGGAATTGGGTACTCATCCAAAAGTATACATTTGGGATGGTGAACGTATGTGTTTTCACTCACATTTTGAATTCTGTCTCTCTACAGGCTAACCATCTTCAGAAACTTCGTTCACTGACACCTGTAGCCACCTTGTTCGCTACCTTGCTGCCCTTCCATGCATGCTGTCCACCATCTCACCTCTACCTCCGGGCGTAACTCCTTGTGCTAGTCATGCAAACTCAAGACCCTGTGTTGTGCCACCCCGCTATCTTTCGCCTTGTGTTGCACCCTATATACCACCCCACGTCTCTGAGCAGCGGCAGCCTTGCCTTCCAAACTGTCAATTTCAAGGTTGGTTTTTGCTTTGTTTATTGCAAGAGGTTGGTTTTGGGTCGTGTGAACATTAGTTTTGTATTTGCTTTGTTTATTGCAAGAGGTTGGTTTTGGGTCGTGTGAACATTAGTTATTTTTAAGAATGTTGCAGAGGGTTAACTGATTGATCATGAGGTTTTGGTGCTTCTATGCGGATTGTGTTTAGGTTCACTTCAACTACTGCTGTGTATATAACAATGTTTCTTTTGTCATGTGATTGTGTTTTTCATGAATATACATGTTTGGGGATGACAGGGCAGCATTAAATGTTTTTCTTTTTGTAGTGAAATCCTGAATTGCGACTAAGACAGAATTGAGAATGGTATTGATAAGGACAATGGCAAAGTTGAAGTCGTCGTTGTTATATGTTGAACTCTAAGTGGAAGTGAACATTGAAGATTTGGCTTCGGAAGTTGATTGATGCTGTACTGAAGATCAGGGCTGTTTGCTTTTAGGTTATAGAGTTGGATTCTAGTTTCTAACTTAGGGGCTGTTTGGCAACTTCTGAATAGGTAAGTGCTGAACCAGTAAGAGGTCTGAACCATTAAGTGCTGAACCAGTAAGAGATTTGAACCATTAAGAGCTAGTATATTGCTTAACTATTCAGAGGCAAATATCTGATCAATTCAGATAAGAGCTCTTAACCATTCAGACCATGTATAATACTTAACCATTCAGACATCTAAATTATTAAGAGGCTGAAACAAACAGTCTGAACCATTAAGTGCTGAATCATTCAGACATCTGAACCATTAAGAGGCTGAAACAAACAGCCCCTTAGACTTCTTTTTTTGTCTCAAAGGGCTTTGGTTTGGTCCTCCCTTCTTGTACATTAAATTTCATTACTTCTTTTTTTAATAAAATCCTTTTCAATACCCCCTCTATATATATATATATATATATATATATATATATATATATATATATATATATATATATATATATATATATATATATATATATAGACACACACACATATATTAATGATGATATATTTAATCATAAAAAAAATATAATTCTTATTACTAATAATTGTATTGATGACGGGATTTTTTGTCATAAAAAGAGTATTTTGATGAAGGTAAAAATACTCTCATTAAATAATTTTAATGAGAGGACTTGTAACCCGTCATTATTTGTAATTAGCTACGGAGGCTATAATGACGGTCGATGAGAGTAAATTTCCCCTCATTATAATGTTTTAATGACGGTTTTTGTGTTTTAACTACGGATTGTACTCACACTATAGAGAATTTTTCTTGTAATGACTCTAGTATTCATTTAATCATACAATTTTTGTCAACATTTTAATTTGGATACTCAAAGAAAAAATTGTGGTGAATATATATAGGGTTGGGAACAAATTAAGGTACATTTTGGTGTAACTGAAGTGTTTTTAAAAAATATTGTTCTAAGTTATGCTAAGGGTACCCAAATAGTATATTGAATTTGTACACCAACAATTTTCACCATACATTCTTTATTTACTCATCAAGTTTTTATCCAGACTAACATTGTGTGGTTGAGACATTGTGTGGTTGAGAGTTGAGACATACTGGGTACACTTTTTAGTATGTCTCTAACATTTTTAAAAATATTCCCTCCGCTCATAGAGAATTTGAACCTCAATTATACAAGAAGTGTACTCCGTTCGTATAAAAACTAACTTCCATTTGTGTTTTATAATGTTGAGTGTCGTTGTATGTAATATTATAATGAACTTTATATCTATAAACTTGGATAGTAATAATGTATTGCTAGATAATGCTTATTGTTTATAATATCAAACCATTATTATTCCCAATATTAAGAATACATAGAAAGGTTCACACAGATAGAATACATACATACATATATATATATATATATATATCATTATATATATTAACGGTAATTTATTAAAATATTAGTGCAGAAATGAATAATAAAAATTATATAGTTTAAAACTACATGAAAAATCTACAAACTATAGATGATGTGATTATATTATTTTATCAAATAAGTAACAAAAATAGGCTAAGAACGTAGAAAGAGTTTGACCTGGCGAATAGTGAATGAGAAAAATATTTTTAAGACAAAGGGGGTAACAAATATTTGTATAGAAGTAATTTTGTTATATTTATTTTGTAGAAAACTTTCAAAATTTTATTATTATTTTATTAACATGTTATAAAAATTTAATGAAATTAATTGTTAAAATTTCTTCAATTTAATTTGAAAGGATAAAAAACGACATATACACCGGAAAGGATGGAGTAATTGATTTCATCACATATGATGTGCTACCTCCGTCCCTGAGTATTTGTCCAATTTTGAATTTTTTCGGTCAACTGTTTTCAACCTTTGACCTATAACTAAATAAACTATATATGGTACATTAATTGAATAAAATAATATTTTGAATATATTTGATATAATAAATCTAATAAAACTATTTTTGTATCAATTATTAATTTTATTTTTATTTAATTTGAAGTCAAAGTTTACCAATTTTGACCAAAAAAAATCAAAAGTGGACGAATACTTAAGTACGGAGGGAGTACTACGTAAAAGTCTTTATACTACATCGATCTCAAAACTTAGACACCACTTTTCCACATTAGGAGGGTGTTTGGCAGTGCACTGCTTTTAATAATTTAACTTCTGCTTTGAGTGGAAGTGGTTTTACTCTATTTGGCATGTCAGCTTCTGCTTTTCACCACCACTATTTTGTACATAGAACATCGTTTTGGAGAAGCAATTATGAGATTCTTTTGCTTTCAGCTTTTGTAGAAATCACTTTATCCACAGGTTAATCACTCCCAAACACCCTCTAGGTGTTCCAAAATAAAAGTTTAATTTTCTTATTTGATATAACTTCCTTGCCAAAAATAGTATATTAGTAATATTACTCATATTTTTTTGTTTACTTTTTCAAGACAAATTCTCACGTGATCCTTATGTCCATAATTATTAAATGGACATTGAGACATTAAATGTTTAAATGTATTAGACCGTGTAAAACGAAAAAAGATCGTACTATGAGTCCATTAAATTTGTGAGAGTCTACATTTTATATGTGAATATTAAAACCACGATAGCACATCTCCTTTTCAAACACTTTTCACACATTCTTCTTATTTCATGTTTTAAATCACTTTTTATTCATGTTTTAAATCACTTTTTATACTTATTCTTTTGTTTTAATGACCTTACTAGACTCGTGCCCGTGCGTTGCACGACCTGAAAAATAATTTTAAAATTTAAGTATTTTTTTAAAAATATTTATTGAAATAAAAGATATAATTCGTAACCGTTGTGGCAAAAATACATCTTGCTGTTTGAAGTTCAAAATCTAATCAAAGTTTAGTCACACATTTTTATGCTTTTTAAGGTAATTTTTTTATGAACTAATGACATATAATTATAGACCTAAAAAGTTATGCATGATAGCATATTTTTGTTTCTCGTTTGGACCAACTTATAGTAAATAACTAATGTAATTCTTGTCACCCAAATACGAATAGTAACTCCATATTTGACAAGGCCCAATTATAAATTTATAATTGATTCATTTAATGGGTCAAGCTATTATTGACCCAAACAAAGTAGAGCTAGTGGCCCATAAAATGGTCTACTGGGCTAGTCTATTTCCCCTCATAAAACCACTTGTCTTATTTTTTCATTTTTTTTATAGATTTAGTTTTTTTCAGATTTGTTCGAGTAGGTTTGGGCACCAACACGTCGTCCTCAATCGGCTCGCGTAATCCCCTGCCAAAGACCAACATTGCCTTCATCATGTGTCCGTGTTGACATGTTCTCGAGTCAAAGAAAAACATGGCAAGACCTATGCAAGAGCAAAGCAAAAGTATCATTTTTTCCAGTGTACTGCCAGGGTAGAGAGGGGGGCGGGAGGGGGCTGGAGTGGGGGGCAAGGGTGAGGCTGGGGTGGAGGGTTTAGGAGGAGGGTTAGGGGGTAGGAATCGTCATTTTTACAAACGGGGCACCGTAGGTACCCCAAACGAACTGGTGTAAGCAACTGGTGTATAAGTAACTGGTGTCATTTTAGACGCTCCCTATAAAATAATGCTATATATTCAAATTTATAATATAAACTCAGACACCGACAAAAATGAACTCTTATTTACATATTTATTTGAGTGATAATTTAATCAGGTAATTTTTAGCACTTTAATTCTTTTAACACTTTTCAGTTTCTTCAAACATTAAATTTTAAAATTTCCATAAAAAAAGCCTTTCAATTTATAAACTAAATAAAAAAATTCCCTTGTATTTATTCATTGATTATAGAGTAAATTCCCAAAATAGTCCTTTGTAATAAGGGATTTTCCCAAATTAGTTCTCAGTAAGTTTTAATTACCTACATGGTCCTCTATAATTGAGATTTATTCCCAAAATAGTCCTTTGTAATAAGGTATTTTTCCAAATCAGTCCTCAATAAGTTTTAATTACCTACGTGGTCCTCTATAATTGAGATTTATTCCCAAGATGGTCCTTCATAAATAATGTTACTCAAATGAGGATTAATTGAGGTTATTTTTTTCTGCTAAATTTAGAATTAATTCTTAAAATAATCATTTATAATGAAATGCTTTCCCAAAATGATTTTTCTAATTAAAGATGTGTATTTGATTTGAAATTTAAAAGATTTGTTTTAAGTTTCAAATAATTCATAAATTATTTATACTCAATGTATTTTTTAAATTTTACATTTAGTTGTACAGAAATGATTGTTTCAAAAATATACTTTAAATTTGGATTATCAAAATACCAAAATATCTCCCAGTTAATCCTCATTTGAGGATTGATTTGGGAAAACACCTTATTACAAAGGACTATTTTGAGAATTTACTCATAAATAATTTATGAATTATTTAAAACTTAAAAAATCTTTTAAATTTCAAATCAAATACACATCTTTAATTAGAAAAACCATTTTGGGAAAGCACTTCATTATAAATGATTATTTTAAAAATTAATTTTAAATTTAGCAGAGAAAAAATAACCTTAATTAATCCTCATTTGAATAACATTATTTATGAAGGACCATCTTGGGGATAAATCTCAATTATAGAGGATCACCTAGGTAATTAAAACTTATTGAAGACTGATTTGGGAAAATATCTTATTACAAAGGACTATTTTGGAAATAAATCTCAATTATAGAAGAGTACTTTAATTATAAGCTAAGCAGTACATTTTTTCTCGCAGCTTTTCAATCTTTCTCTTTCAAATATAGGAGACGGAGACTGAGAGAGAGAGAGAGTTGACAACTGATAAGGCTTCTCCAGGCAGTATCTCCGATTGGAAATGTCACCGTGCGGGGCTGCCACGGCGGCGGCGATCAAACAGGCGGAGCAGCTGAGGCAAGACGGCAACAGTTACTTCCAGAAAAGCCGATTTGGCGCCGCAATCGATGCCTATACCGAGGTATTATTCATTCAACGTGCTGTGTTTCGCTTCGATTACTTCCTCGAGAACTGAATTCGATGCAAGATTTCTCCTTCCAGGCGATTACCTTGTGCCCTAATGTTCCTGTATATTGGTCTAATCGTGCTTTGTGCCATCTCAAGCGCAAGTGAGCATGATCTTCTCTTTTTCTCTTATTAGTTTCAAATTTCAAAAGTGTTCTTAATTGGCATTAAAGAAATCACCATACATAGGACTAAAATATATAAAAGTATTAAAATAGAAGTTTCATATTTTTATTCTCTAAACAAGAGTTTGCACGGTGTATATGTGTATTTTAAGGAATGTACACGGTCATCATTGATAATGTAAATGCATTTTAAATTCTATTTCGGGAATAAAAACATGGAACTTCTATTTTGGTATATTTTCAATATTTTAATCCTACTTTAGTCCTTTTCTCTTGGGATTCCTTATTATGCACTGTGTACTTGCTTGCTTCCCTATAGTGATTGGACAAGGTTGGAAGAGGATTGCAGGAGAGCAATTCAGCTTGATTGCAATTCGTTTAAGGTGCGTTTGCGAGTTATGTTTCAATCAGATTCTCTGTTGTTCGTTCCTTCATGGTGCACCATGCTTGCTGTATACCAATCCTTTCATTGAAAGTCTCTGCTGTTTTTTTATTTGGAAGAAAGAAGATATGCTTTTCTTATGTTGGGTACATAAAATATGCTCTCTCTAGTTTGAAAGCTAAAAGGTTCCTCTTTAGGACCTTAGGACAACTTAAAATCTTATCTTTTGTGAGGTTTAGCTTGTTACAACACATTTGGCTTTAACTTTGATCCATGTACATGTAACTATCCAAGCTATCGGAAACAACAACCTTGTAGAATCCCATAAAAGTAGGGTCTGAGGAGAGTGTGTACGCAGACCTTACCCCTACTAGAATTCTAGAAAGAACATAGGTTGTTTCCAAGTGCACAGAGCATGACAAGGAAGCAAAAACGCAAACAAAGGGCAAAAAAGCACACAACAACAAGCACAAAAGATAACACCAAAACCCAAACGACTACCCAACTATCGTAGTTCTTGATCTTTAGACGCTATCTAAGGTAATATCCTTGGCAAGAGCTAGAAGTCTTACGTCTTGTCTAATCACCTCCCTCAAATTCTTTCTTCATAGGGTCTATTACTTCCCACACACCCACCCACTATCCTAAGCCTCTTGCACTGGAGCCTCAACGCTACACTGCTTCACGTATCCAAACCACATCAACATATCTTCCAGCAGTTTATCCTCCACGTTTGCCACTCCTACTTTTCCTCAAATACCCTTGTATGACCACACATCTACCGTCACATCCGCATCTTTGCCACATGCAGCTGACGAATATGGGCTTTCGTAACCCCCAACACTCTGCCATGTAGAGTGTAGGACATAGTTACTGTGACCATATTTTAAAAACCGGACTGGATCGGCCGATTCAGACCGTGAACCGGCAAACCGATGGTCCAACCGGTCCGGTCCAGCCCTTTGGACTGTAATCAGCTTTAAACTAGTCCGAACCGGCCGGTCGAACTGGTCGGACCAGTTTTTTTTCTCTCGATTTAATACAATTTTCTTTCCAAAAGTTTACCACCATGGGGGTTTGAACCCAAGATCTCCTAGACATTTAGTTAAGTTCCTAACCATCTAAGATAGGGTGCTTTTTGTTACCAGTTCACTTAATATTTTTAAATATTTCATAATTAAAAAAAGATTGCATAAAGATTTCTTTTCATTTTAATAACTAAAATATCATATTGTATAACTAAAAAAAAGATTGTATAAAGATTTTATCAAACACAAAATCATTGATATAATTTATACTATTACAAAATGCATATCATGCAAAGATTTCGCTTGAGTGTTTTTTAATACGGAGTATTAAACAACTCATTTGAAAAAAACATAAAATCAACTCTTCATTTATAAAATTTTTAATATTACTTTTTTTAAATATGTAAATTTTATTTTTTAACTTAGTAACATAACTCAAGTATATTAATATAATTTTGGTCAAATGTTATAAATTACTTTCTTTAGAAATTTATAAATGAGGGAGTGTGTGTGTCTATACATATACATATACATACACATATACATACATACATATATATATATATATGTGTATATATATATATATATATATATATATATAAAATTTTTAAAATATGTTTAAACCACCGGTTCGACCAGTGAACCAAGACCTTGACCAGTTTGGTCACCGGTCCGATTCCAAAAAATATGACTGTGACTACGACCCCATAGAACTTTCCTTTCATCATCTTTTTATGACACAAGACCCTTGAATCCAACTTCTACTTTGTCAAAATGGCTCCTATACGAAGGACTATATCGCCGTCTATCTCCTGATATGTGATTTGCCTGAATGACCGAACCAAGATACCGAAACTTGTGTCTCTCACTCTCTTAGGCACTGGTTGTCAATCGATCTTAACTATCCCATCTAAATTCATCACTTGACCACTGAAGTGACATTTTAACTATCCAGCTAAGAAAGGATGTTCAAAAAAATTGTTGCGCTTCGAAAGAGATATTGGAGAGGTGGTGCCTTTCGGATAAAAAACACTCTGTATGGAGTATCCATTACTTCTTCATGTAAGAGGCTTGGAAAGGTGATCTGATTCATTAAAAAAACTCCTTTTAAGGAAACATTGCTTTGTATTATTCAGCCATAACGAGCTCTAGCTGAAATGGGGATGACGTAAGAAGAGATTAGAGAATATTCTAGAAAGAAACACGGATGAACACAATGAACATCTTCCAATATCAATGTAGTCTCGAATCTCCCATAGCTTAGTTTCCATTATCAGAAGTATGTGGGTTGAAACTTTTGATGTGAATTGTGATGTTCATATCAATGTTTAATAACAAAGGGAAGTGATAAAGTTTATCATTTGTGAAAGCAAGAAAAGAACCTGATAATATCCATTCTTTCTACATGCATGTGTTAATGGCTGTGGAAAGTAATCTTTTTGTACTAATTTTAATGAATGGGGCTTTTGGAATTACAGGCACACTATATGCTAGGCCTTGCTTTGCTACAGAAGCAAGCATATTCAGAAGGAGTCAAACAACTCGAAAAAGTATTGTGTGTTCTCCCTCGTCTTCATTGAAAAAATCCTTAAGTGTTTAGGGTGAAATGACAAAAGTGTTGTGTTTCCATACACAATGGTGCCCATATAACTGAAAATATTGTGGTAGAAACTAATGTGGATAGGGGGAGTGGACTGTGGGTGTCTCCCCCTCAGATTTATTTTCATTGAATGTTTCTCATATCGGGGTGGACAGGGTTCAGGAACAGGAACCGGACCGGTGGGTAGGGTTCTAGAAATGGGAACCGACGGGAAGGGTTCCGGTTAGAGTTCTAAGTTTCGGGCTGTTCCAAATTTTGTTCCATTTTAATTTTTTTTGTTTTGTTTTTAAACTTATACTCAATTTGTCTAGGTTGATTTACTTGATTCACAATGTCTAGAAACAAAAAAAAGCAAATAAAATAAAACTGGAACCAAGCAGAACCCCGCCACTGGTACTGGTCATGGTTCCGTCCCACTAGGAACCGGCAATTCCGGAACTGGACTGGACCTGTCCCGTGGCCACCCCTACTCATATGCATCAAATTGTCTCACTTTATTGTTTTTAGGCATTGGATCTTGGAAGAGGGGCTAATCCTAAGAGTTACATGGTAGAGGAGATATGGCAAGAGCTAGCAAAAGCCAAATATTTGGAATGGGAATACGAGTCTACCAAGCGTTCCTCTGAACTCCATAAACTGAAGTTAATTGTGCTCTTAATCTCAGTTGTAAATGTTATCTCTGACTATAAGTTAGTTGTCTCTACATCCTTTTTCGTCTTATGTGCCTCAGAGAATCCTGTGAGATGGCTCTAAAGGAGAAACATTTACTTGGCCTCTCACAGATGGAAGGTTTTTTAGATGAGAAGAACGAAGCCTTCTCTAAACAACTCGAAGCTCTGAATAGTGTTTTCGCGAAAGCTGCAGAAGATGATACTCCTCTTGACGTGAGTATTTTACTACTATTTTCTTTCTATTCTTGCCCATTTGAATATACAATTTGCAGAAGATGAGTTCTTTTTTTTGTGGTGTGGATTTTTGTAAAAAATTGGGTCCATCTCACCTCAAAGGATTTCTCAAGACATGAGGTTTACCACAAACTTATCACATACTTGACTTGTAACCAATAGACAACCTCACACTAAGGATTTCCAGGTGCCCGATTACTTATGTTGTAAGATAACACTTGACATTTTACGTGATCCTGTGATAACACCCAGTGGGGTTACATACGAGAGGGCTGTGATTCTTGAACATTTGGAGAAGGTAATGGTTCTTCAAGGGTTGAGTACAAAATTCTTAAATACTCTGTGGTTTTTAGTGTCGGTATATATTGATCCTCTATTCTCTCGAACAAGCTAGGTGGGGAAATTTGACCCAGTTACTGGCAAGGCACTGTATGCATCACAGTTAGCACCCAATTTGGCTATAAAAGAAGCCGTGCAGGCGTTCTTGGACAAACATGGCTGGGCTTATCGGTTAGATTGATACATTTACCATTTTAACCAATTTAATGCATCGTGGTTCACACATTGTTATGCCATTCATGCAGTCGTGTATAGTTCATGTCTTTTTGGCTATTGGGTCTTCTTCATTAAGCTGTACAGTGATCTATACAATTTTTACAGAACATTTTTGAGCTGTTCTCCATGTCATCTACAACAATTTTGAAATGGCTTGTCTTTTGAAATGCAGTTTGCAGTTAGAAGGGTCTCTTAGTTTTACCCCAAATATATGTTTAAGCCCCAATATTGGGGGTGTCAGGGTGTGATTATCGTTTTTGTGTGTGCGCGCCCGAGGGTACAGAAACGGAGTTTTGGGGTTTTAGAAATGCACCAAAAATTCTTATTTTCGTGCATTTCCATCTCGTGTTTGGGGTTTCAGTGCCACCAAAAATGATACCCTTTTACCCCTGCATTGAAGCCCATGAACAAAGTTTGAAATTAAAGAATGGAGTATATTTGGACGGAGTTTGGAATACTTAATTGAAAAAACTACTAAAATTGAATGCAAGTGAGAACTTCTTAACCATTAACCAACACATATGTCATATGTTGCATAAATGATAGAACTTCATCCTAGGGTTCCTTCAGATTTGGTGAGATAATTACTGACATGAGATAAATAAAAATACATTTTCTTTCAATTACTCCATACAAAGCTTTAGAAGTACATTTTCTATTAACTGCTCCATATTGCGGGTCCTCCAAGGCTCTAAGTAACCGGTGGAATTCTCTTAGGTAGTGTTTGGCAATTAGCATTTCATTTCAATTCATGCATTTCAATTTCAAAATTTGAAATCTTGAATTTCAAATGACAAGGGGAGGTGCATGGATTTCAAATTAAGCATTGTTTTGAATGTAAAGAATTTGACTCAAATCCAAATTCAAAATGCTTAGATTTCCCAAACATGGAATTTAAGTCAAATCCGGATTTGAAATCCAAATCCATGTTCCCAAACGTACCATTATATTAAAGAAATACTTCGTAGATTTTATTCAATCTGACCTCAAGGCTCTCCCTCCCTCTTCTCATCATAAAAATAACATTACATAATTTGGTTACCTAAACGGATATACTACAGCACACAGACTACAAAAACTCTATCGAAATTTTGTCCGACCACAAGGCTCTTCCTCATTCAAAAGGCCATGGAAGTACTCACCCACCAATTGGACACCTCTCTTGCTAGGAACAAAACCATGTTATTAATGTCCTTGACACATCTATCTCAATGCACTAAATCCCGAGCCCTCCCCTAATGCGCCTTAGCTAGTTGGAATAGCCTTTTAGCTCCGCCTCACACACTTCTATGTACTTATAAAGGTACGTGTTTAACTGATACTACGTATATTTTTTCTTCATCGTAGCTTCTAACTTAACGTCTTTACGAGTTCTTTTATCATCAAATCTTAGAGATGTCCTAACCTCTCAATCACTATAATGTGCGAATACACACATATTAACCTCCTAAAATTTTAAACCCATAAAAAAATTATTTTGTATCCTTATCTAATAGAGCAAAGAATACTCCGTATAGGGATGACAATTCTACCCGAACCTGACCGACCACTAAAATATCCAAACCTGAACCTAGAATAAAATAATTTGAACCCGACACGAAAAGATTTTACCCGAATCCGACATCGGGTTGGGTGTGAGTTTATAATTTCACCCGACCCGACTTAAACCCAAATATTTTCTAACATAAAACCCTATCTATGGATATAATGAGCACTCCGTATAATCTCTTGATAAGGTGCTACTGTATAAAATATACATTTTATAATTCTTTTTATAATTCCCTAATAAAAAATGAGACAAAACATTAGATTTATTCCTTTTAAAATTTTTGGGATACGTCGAATTAATTATTGGTCAAATTACAAATTTGGGTCCGGGTTTTGCATTTAAATGTCACGTTGGGGTCGTGTCGGGTTTTTTTGGTTTAAAAGTCGGGTTTCGAGTTGGGTTCGGGTTTCAGTTTTAAAAAGACGTGTCGGGTTCAGATATAGTACCATCAGACCCGAATTCGACCCATTGTCATCCCTAACTTCGTATCTAATATCTAGTTCTAAAACAGGTTAAAACATAGTATGCAGAATGATTTCATGAGTTTTTGAAATATGTGAAATTTGCACTAAATAAGACTAAAACATAATGACTTTCTTAATATAGGACTTAAACTTTTTTATTCTCTAAATAAGACTTAATAATGACCTGGTGGAAGAAATAATGTCCTGTAATGATGGACATTTAGTTGAATAATGACTTCTTGATAATGACCAAAGGTCCTATATTGAGAAATAAAAACATATGATCCTATATTGAGAAAGTCATTATGTTTTAGTCCTATTTAGATAAATTTCTCTTGAAATATTCATTGCAATATTTCTCTTTACTAAAAAACAAGATGTGGAATTACAAGCACACACTTGCAAATTTTTTTGACACATTTTCTTAAATTTTGTAGAGTTAAAATACGGAGTAGTAAATTCTCTTGTGGAAAGAAGAGGTACTAATTAATTAAAGTAGAAGAATTATAAAACATAAATAAAAGTATAGTAGGGGTACTATTGCTTGTCGTCACTCTTCTTTCTTATTCTATGAAGACTTAGGGGAGAAAGAGAATGGTTTGATCCGAAATGACGACCGTGTCCCGGCAATCAGCCCGCCCTCTCCGCTCTTTCCGCGGCTACTGTTCCTCATCACCGCCTCCCTCTTTCTATATACTCCCTCCAATAATTTTACTTCTTCTTTGCTCTTCAATGTGCTACTTTGATCATTCATATTTTTATTTAAATTTAGTTTTATATTATAAAAATATGATATTTTAAAACTACGGAGTATATTTCAAGCAGCTTAGAAAATATCATAATTTCTCAAGTTAAGATATACTTATTTTATCTCACTTACAAGCAGCTTATAAGCACAGAGAAGCACGTCATCAGCTGACTTAAAAACTAAAGACAACTTGTAAGTAGTTTTGATCGGCTTATAAACACAGAAAAATACACACATTGTTTACATATTTTATGGTCAAAGTTAAAGACTTTTGACTAAGAAAAAACAATATGGAAGATAATTTCAAGACAATGGAGTACTCATTTATCCAAATCCCAATTTTTTTATAATTAGCTTTTATTTATACCCTTTCTTCCTCCCATAGAATTTCTTACAATTAAATTTTTTTAATTATATTTTACAAATTTTGATCACAAATTATGAAAAAAAATTTTGTTTTAATTTTAATTAAAAGAAAATTGGTACGTATGTACGGCGGTGAAATAAATACATTTTATTTTGAAATGTTGAATATTTATAACATTTATTTATATAAAACTATATTTAATTTATATTCAAAGTGTATAACAGTTTGATCCAAATTTTTTATAAAGAAGTGACCATAAATATGAGTAAAACAAAGAGAAAATTCAAAAATAAGAGCTCCATATTTTTATTTTCTAAATAGAAGTTAACATTGTGGTAATACATGAACATTTTACTACATTTTTTTGTAATGTACATAGTTTTGACTGGTAATATAAATGCATTTAAATTTCTATTTCGAGGATAAAAACATAGAATTTTCATTTCGAGAATAAAAATATTGAACTCATATTTGGTATATTTTCAATATTTTACTCCAACTTTAGTCTTAGCTTTTTCCCAAAATTTTATGATATGAAGGGAGTGTGTGTCTATATATATGTGTGTGTGTGTGTGTGTATATATATATATATATATATATATGGGCTGGATCAAGTGAGAATGCACCTTGGTGAAAGAAATAAGAATAAAATATAGCCATTGGATCTGATGCATCATGCGGCTCAGATTGCATCCTGCGCTTATATTTTGAGATAGTGCATTTTCAAAGGTTTTTGGTGCATTTCGACATGATGCATTTTCAAACCATTTTGGTGCACCCAATTTTGATGTAATCCTAACCCTTAGATCTCACAATTTAAAGTACCAGATTCATTCTTATTTCTTTCATAAGATCGCATTCTCACTTGAATATATATATATATATATATATATATATATATATATATATATATATATATATATATATATCAACACATACACCTTCAATATTAGTTCTCCTTTTTCGGCGGTATATATCCAACTTATCATTAAAAATCATTTCTTTTTCTCTGGACTTTCCCATTTCGCCTTTCCATCCCCACCCTTTCGCCATTGATGATGCAGAAAGATCACTTCTTTAACGGCGGTGGAGCTCCGCCGCCGCCGTTACTGTTCGAGCCCACGATGCGTGACTTGGACGCGACTTGGGGGTGTTCTCAGGATGAATACGCCCAATTTGAGTTGCCCGTCAGCAGCACCTCGATGGCCGCCGCCGCCATGGATTCCGGCGGGTTTGCGATCAGCGAGCTGATCGGTGAACTCAGCAGTATGTACGGCTCTCGACCGCCGTTCGCCGCCACTTACGCCAACGTCGGTGATATTTACAGCTTGGGAAATTCACTTCCCCTGAGTACTCCGGCCATCTCCCCGGCGCCGGCGAAGTTGTCCTGCCTCGGTAGCCGGAGCTTCAACGGGAGAACGGCTCAATCCAGGTCGAGTAGCCCGTCTCTGAAGCAACCCGGAACTGAAACCCGACCCGAACCCTCATTCTTTTCCGGCCACACTTCCATTCCCGAACCATCAGCTCCCTCCGCCGATCAACTCCCGAGCGGCGGAAGCTCCGGCGAACTCAATCCCAGAAAAAGGAAACCCGTCTCGGTAGTGTACGAAATAACTCTTCTTTCAATTTTCCCAGAAATTTCATTGATCACTTATGATTCTTCTCATGTTTACAGGGAATCAAGACGGACGGGCATTCGAATGCGAAGAAATCGAAACAGAGCAAAGCAACGGAGGCAGAAGTGAATGCTGATAATGGCGGCGGAGATGGTAATGAGTCAAACCAGAAGCCATTTGAGCCACCAAAGGATTACATTCATGTTAGAGCAAGAAGAGGGCAAGCTACTGATAGCCATAGCCTTGCTGAAAGAGTGAGTTTTGTTAGCTAAGAAGTCACCAGTTTGATTATATATTATCTACCAAATTTTAAGAAATTAATGTTGAAATTTGAATATATAAAAACTTTTCTTGACTTTATAATCACAATTATGAAATTTGTATGGGATAGAGAGTTAAAATATGGTCTAGTTTTGTGGATAATGTTGAAATTTTTCCCATTTTGAATTTTTGATTAGGTAAGGAGGGAGAAGATTAGTGAAAGAATGAAGCTTTTGCAAGATCTTGTGCCTGGCTGCAATAAGGTGAACAAACCTTTTTATGTAACTATATTTAATGTCAAATTATGATTAATTAATTTAGTAATGTTATAAAAAGAACCTCTTTTTTTCTTCTTGGTTAAGGTAACTGGTAAGGCATTAATGCTCGACGAGATTATAAATTATGTGCAATCACTGCAACGCCAAGTCGAGGTAATTATAAAATCATATCACATATGACACCAAAGTTGACACCATTAAATCTTGGTGTCATTTTCTTGGTGTCATTTTCTATTAAGTATTTATATATGGCAAAAGATTCTCAACATTGTCAAATGCCACAATGCAGTTCCTATCTATGAAGTTAGCCACATTAAATCCTAGGGTGGACTGCAACGCACCCAATCTGCTCCCAAAGGATGTGAGTAAATTCTTTTTGTCAAGGCAATGATATTTTTTTTGTCTCTGGGGTAAAAATGTAAAATCATGAAAATGTTTCTAAGTTTTGGACTTCATTTCCCCCCATAGATATGTCAGACCAATGAGGCATTGCCACATCACGTGTACACGTCGGATTCGTCAGGGCCCGCTTTTCGTTACGCCAAAATTCCTCAACTAAATGCGGGCAATCCAAACGGGGCGCTAAGCCAATGTCCTCCTCCTTCTCTTTACTCATTGGATGCCTCTCCAAGCCTTGGGATGCACTTTCCTTCCATGGATAGTTTTGGTGAAACTCTTTCTCAGGTGTGGTAATATGGTATCAGAATCTTGTTGATCTAGATGTCACGAGTTTGAAATTTACGGTCGATCTCCTGCTTAAAAAATAAATATTCACATGTGTTTTGGATAACAACAATAATAATCATCATTATTCAATAATTATTATTATTATTATTATTATTATTATTATTATTATTATTATTATCATCTGAGCAAATACATTTCAACCGCATGTGAAATGACGCGTTAGAATATAAAACATTTTTGTTTCCCAAACATAAACTGAAGTTTTTGGTTGGGTTAACTTTGTTTATTTGAAAAACAAAATAAACTTAAAAAAATAATTAAGTTTCTTTTAGTATATTAATAAATAAATATGGTGTGTATTTTGTGTCTTTGCAGTTTCCTTTGGCATTTGAAGATGACCTGCAAAGTATAGTCAAAATGGGGTTCAACTAAATCTTTAGCAAGATTATATCCACAAAATTTGATTCTCTCCGTCACATAAAAAAGTTCCATAATGATTCAGTTCAAACTCCTCCGATCAATCACAATTCTTGAGATGAGAACTCAAGAAGACTAAGAAGAAGAAGAAAGAGAAGATTGTACATATTTGCTTCAAGAATTGATAATCCACTTCACATAATCTAGCTAGTAAATTGTCTTTCTTTTATTTTGTATTGTTATGATTATCATTCTAATTATTAGTATTATTACTATTGTTGTTGTTATTTTTATTGTTTAATGTAATTAGAATTCTTTGTTTTAAATTTGAAGGGTGGTCAACTTGTGGGTCCTGCCCTTGATTTATTAGGATCTTCTGATATATGTGGTTAGGAAAAACAAAATCATAATTTTGTCCAAAGTAGCACTAATGAAGCAGTGATTAAAGGATGTATTATCAAGTGATTTTGTTTTTTTCTATTCTTAAATTATTTGATTAGATTGTGGTTGGTGCCTAATTATAATGATAAATTTGTTTTCTTTGTCACTCGTGTAAATAATATTTGATTCTTGTTTAGGCATACAAGAATCATACTCAGTATAAAGAAAGTATGACGTTTGGACAGACACTATATTATACTCCATATGGAGAGAACTATAGAGTACTTCCTTCGTCCCAAATCAATTACTCATATTTTATTCAAAGGTTTGTATAGAAATAAAAATTAAAATTTATATATTTAAAAACTAAATCAAAAAAATTTTCAAAATAATATGTGACACGAATGTTTTATTTTCTCAAATAATCGATGAAAATGTATGAATAGATAAAAATTTCTGTGATTTTTAAATAATAAAATGTGACATTTTTTTGGGATGAAGTTAGCTCGTGTAAACATCTCTACTCATAATAATAATAATAATAATAATAATAATAATAATAATAATAATAATAATAATAATAATAATAATAATAATAATAATAATAAAGTACGGGGTATAAAACATCTATGTGCATCTATGTGGGGTAGGGGAATTTTGTGATCTTTGAACAATAATTATATTTACTTTTGTTTTTTTTGGCATTTTTATAAAAAAGAAACGTAATTATCGGCACAATTCTAGCTAGCATAGGCTCCTGTAGTTTTCACAGATTAAAAACCATAAACAGAAGCTTCTCTTCTCTCGTTCTCTTCTACACCTTATTTTTTTCTGCTCTAAGAAAAAATAAAAAAAGAAGACAATCTAAACAAGAGTTAAACATATAAAAAATATCAAAATAAGAATTTTATGTTTTTATCTCTAAAATAAAAGTTTACACTGTGCTAATGTGACATTGTATATGGTAACATGGGTATTTATTTCACAATACTTTTTTGTAATGTATATGATTATGATTGACACGTACAGTATATACATTTTAACTTTATTGCCGTAATTAAAACATAGAACTTTTATTGTAATATATTTTTAATAATTTACTCATATATTAGTCTTTCAAAATAAAAAGGATGAAACTCATGGTCCGAAGTCCAAACTCTAAATAAAAACATAAAAGATTTAGAATGAGATTTATCTCTAGTACGTGCAAAAACTTCTTATTAAACATAATGATCCACGAGTCAAAATACAGCATTATCCCTTTTTACATTTTTATTGACCAAATAAATTATGCCAAAGCAATTTTTTTTATATATTGTGATTTTTTAACACCAAATTTGATATCATCATTTTTTATATTCATGCACGAATAATGATTGTTTATGTGTGTGTATGTTAGAGTCGTGAGACATATTGATCTAAAATTTGAAGTAATAAGTGATCTTGAGGTAAAAATAGAATACTTGCACTTTCGTACAAACATTTATTGTCTGTCTTTCATTTGATACGAAAAAATGTCATAAGTGAGTTCCTTGAACTCTTTAATTTCCAAAGTAGAACCACTCAAAGAAAACAAGATAAATTATATAATCTGAGAATGTAAATTTTATTACCTCCAGTCTAAAAAAGGATTTCTTGTGTTACTATTTACATAATCAAAATTTGACGAACTGCTTTATTTATTTTCATTTCTTGAATAAGTTGTACAGTTTTATAACATCTTGTTCTATATATACATAATACGGAGTACTATTTTTGATAACAATTTATTAATATATAAATAAAATTAAAAATAGTTTTAACTACACATAACAAAAAAAAGGGAGGAAACATATGAGGATAGATTCTCCCAAGCAGAGAGGAGAAGAGACAAATTTGATGATTGACTGAGTTTGTCTCTAGTAAAATTTACCCAAACATAAGCATAAGATAAGCCAGCCTGGCAAAGTTACCCGGTGACGTGGAGGGCTTTATTTTTACCTTCATAAATGGAAAATTATATAGCATCAACATAGAAAAAAAAGTAAATTCAGTGGTCTTGTGCATTTCAGGTTTGGAAATTTTCCTTTAAGGGACTGGACTAATCAAATTCTATATGTATGGGCACGAAACATATATACTCTATGTCACAATTTTGATTTTCACAATTTTGAATGCAATATTTTAATTTTAATTTTTTTTATTATTTACAAATTAAAAAAGTTATATCTAATATATTTATGAAAGTATATTTCTTAATAAATTTAGTATAGGTAGGTTTGTTTGGAAAAACCAAAAATAAAAACCGAATCAAAACCGATTTTGCCAACATTAACCGATTTTTTGCATTCGGTTTTACAATGCATTTCTCTTCTTATGTTCTATTCATATACTCCGCATAATTTACGTACTCTTTATTTTGGTCACACGTTTTGTTTTGTTAGTAATTTTTTCTTTAGAAATTACAAATGAAGTATGTGAGAGTTGATAGAAATAACTAAATTACTTCAAGAAATTCAAGATATGAAAAAATTAAACATAAGTTGTATTGTTATTGCATTTTAAGAGATGATATGTTTAAATATTTTATTTGAATATCAAGTTTGCTTTGTATTGCACATACGAGTACTAGTTTTAAAACTCGATTTATAATCTAAAATTTGTTTTTTCGTTGAATCTATAAGGTTTAGTTGCTCGATTTAATTGTTTGTTGCATCATTAAAAAAGTTTTAATATCTAACCATTTTTTTATTACAAAGAGTTCATTTACTTTGTTAAAGAAACATTATACGGAGTATTACTTTGGCAAAAAATATTACTTTGTTTATTATTTCTTCGAGTTTGTGTTGTTACAAGTTTTTAACGCTTATAATTTTTTTTTAAACTCAAAAAAACCTAAAATCAGGAAAAACATGAATAAAATCAAACCGGACTGCCAAACCGAACTCACCCACAAACTCAAGTTATGTTGGTAAACTTGGGTCTTCTCTATATCATAAATAAACTACCATTTGTGAAGACATTAAGTAAAATGTTGGAGAATTATTTTAATTTCAAAGTAGAATTTAAAATAAATAGACACAAGTCTTACAAGACTCATTTATTTTTATAACAACATAATCATTAGAGAATTTTATTTTGAATTCAAATTGAAAAAAACTAAAATAAATGAAAATATTACGGAGTACTCCGTATTAGTCTTACCAGAGATATGTCCATTATTAAATTAAATACTCGAGTAACACATTTCTATTATTATTATATAAGCACGCGATGGGTGCAAAAATGATGATTGAATAATGTGGGGAATGCGCATGCATATTAATATTAGTTCATTGATGATGAAATTTTATTCGTTAGAGTTTGTTATATGACAATGAAATTTTAATAAATGATAACATATTTTCTACAATAATTTTTTCATGTGGTGCAAAAGATGATGAAAATATAATACGGAGTACGTAATATAAGAGCATGAGTAATGACAAGTAAAATATAGAATGTCACACGATGACGTGAAGTATTTTAGTCAATCAAAACTAATCCATTCAGCATGTAGTAAATGAGTGGAGTGACATGTCTTGCAGTGGCAAGTCACTCTTTTTATCATTTTTTACACCTTTTTAATGTATTTTAATTATTATAAATTATTTTACTTATCTTTTTTTAATAAAGCAATTGTAATTTTTTGGAAATGTTAACATTTTTAACATATTTTAATTAGTGCATGTGTGCTTTTTTATATGAATATTTTCATTTTCTTGTACAGATTTTAATTGTAGAAAGAGAAAATTATTTTTTTAATTAAAGTATATAATTTCAGATAAAACATTAATTCTTAGAAATGAATATTTTTAGTTTAAAAAAAGGTTAGATTGTTTTATAAAAGAAAATAGAGTGTAAATAAAAAAAACAAAGAAAAAAGGGTTAAGTTATTGTTAAAGAGTTAGATTGGAAAGAAGAAAAAAATAAAAAATAAAAAATTGGAAAACATTGCCTCTAATTCCCCGCGGTTGCCTGTAAAAAATTAAAAATCTAAAAAAAATTCATTCTTTTACAAAATAAAAATTAAACTAAAAGGGAAAAGAGTGTCTCGTGCTTTTCTTGGCTTGCAAGGTGCCTTGCTATGCCTTTCCATGGAAAAAGAGGAAATTTGATGAGGTGGCATGCGTAGTAGTGGCTTTGACACGCCACTGCCCATGCTTTGAAGTTAGTATATACAGAAATACTTCGTATTACTATTTTTTGGGGTTTATTATTTTATTTTTAATATATCCGGAAATAATAAAGAAAACCTGATTTGGAAAAAAGATGCAATACTTTAATAATACGGTTGGATGTGTATTACTGCTAATAATGTGATTTCGGATCAAGACTTATGTTTCATATATTGCTTTTTGTTTTAATGTGGTAATTAATATACTATTTTACACGACATTTTATTTTAGAGAAACAATGAAAATTTTAGTGTGTTCACAATCATTTGATCATGTTTTTGTTTAATTTAAGCACAAACATGTCATGATCAATCCTTTCAACATAAAAGAAAGTGCCTAAGATCCATCTTTAAAATATATATGAATCCGATTTTGGAAAAAATTTGTAGAATGCATAATTTGACCTGCTTAAATAAATTAATAAACTAGGACTCAATCTCGAGCTAAATCGGGTCAAATATGGATTAGAGGATTGAATTTATAGATTTGACCCGACTCAATT